ACCTTCATCTAGTTAAAACCCCTCCTAAATATCGTAGCTAGAAACAACCTACTTAGATACTTGTAGGCCTAAAAACCCTACACGTCTTATATAGCCCTTCGGGCTGAAAAAGGACGTTAAACTAGAATAATAATAATAATAATAATAATAAAACAAGTCTGTGCGCGACTTCGGAGGTCCGCAGGTCAAACCTCCAGTAACCAGGATTCTAGAGGCTCGTAATCACCGTAACTACAATACCGTACCAGTTACAGTACCAGTTATAGTACTAGTTACGGAACATCCTTAGTCGTGGTGTCGGGACGGAAGTGCCTTGCTGCCTACGTTGGCTACATGTGGGTGGCTAGTCCTGGAGCAGCAGCACGGAGAGGGATTACCCCGCGATGTTCCCGAGATGACGGAGCCGCCAGGGTATAGCGTGCGTGGGCACATGTCAGGACCCAGGTCAGAGGCTGCAGGTTCATGGTGGGCCAGGCGTGGGAGGGCGTAACGTGGGAGGGCAAGTCGACTATATGGAAAGTGGGTCGTCGGCGGTGTTCTGCGGCGGTACTCTGTGTCGTTGACAGGCAGGCGCGTGCATAAGCGGCTCCGAGTGCTAGGCCCTGCTTCGGCAGCATACAATGCTTGGCCACTGGCGGGCGTGTCAGGGCGCTGCAGAAGACGCCATCGAGGGAAGGGCGTGCATTGGATGCACAGCGTCCCAGCAACGGGGCTTATCAGGGACAGGGGCGCGCAGCGTGACGGTTGCAGCGCTCAACAGCGGCTGGGGCTGGAGGCGTTAGCATGGCGAGGCTGTCGCCCTGCTGCATGATCCCAGGGACTATAGAGCAGCGAGATCGATGATTTGGGTGCAATCGAGACCGGCGAGCCAGTTGGCTGGAGATAGAGCTGTGCGCGGACCCTGATGGGCGATGGGTTCCCCAGCAGCGCGTGATGTGGCCCGTGAGGGTGGAGCGGGTTGGAGCAGGACCAGAATAGATACTAAAGAGCGTGCAGACTGCCTAATTGTGTAGGGCAGAAGCAGATAACGCACCCAGACGTTGAGCGACGCAGAGTTGAAGTCGGCCATGAGCGCGCTAGCCAAGACCAAACATGTCGGCACCGATGCCGGCGCCGCCTGCTGCCGCCCCGCTGCGGCACGTGCCACTAGTGCTAGCGGCAGCCTCAAGGTGCGCGACTGCTGCCAGGCCTGCGCCAAATCCAAAGTCCGCTGCACCAAGGAGAGGCCATCGTGCTCGCGCTGCGAGAGCAAAGGCATCGAGTGCCGCTATCTGCACTGCAGACGTCCAGGCCGCGTGCCGGGCAGCGGTGCGAGACGCGCTGCCCGCCAGTCCTTGAATCCGCCATCGCCATCGCCGCCTCTGCCACAGCACGACAGCACCGCCGCCACCTCTCCAGCCCACGCCCACGCCCACGCCCACGCCCGCAGCAGCAGCATCACGACCGACCATGGCCTGGGGTCGCTCCTCCTGTCGCCTGCCTTGACTGCGCCGCCGCTGGACCAGACCCAGGACTGCACTGCCGGCACCCACCACCGAGTCGACTCGTTCCAGGCTTTTTACCATGCCACGGATGCACTGGCTCCCTCTCTCTTGTCCGGGCTCGATTTCGACAGCAGCCACTCGGCCAGCGCCATCTGGGACGACTGCGTGGACACGCTGGCCAGCACCGAAGCGCCCATGTACACCGATCTCATGGACTGGGGCGCGGCCGCCAGCGCCATGATGCCCTTCGACTCTGCTGGCTTGACGCTCGACATGTTGGACACCAGCAGTGACGCCCAGTCGCCCACCAGCCGGCTGCTCCCGCTGGAGCCGTTGGCGCCATCCGTCACCACATTCTCCACAGATACGAGTCCATGCGCCTCTTCTTCCTCGTCCTCATCATCATCCTCCTCGTCCTCATCGTGTACGACTGCAACATCACTCTCGTCGTCGTCGTCGTCTTGCATGTCTTCGAGGCCTCCAAGCTTGCAGAGAGACACGGTTGCGCTGTCGGCGCCGTCCAGCGGCCCACCAGGAGAAATGCATTCGGCCGTCTTGAAGCCAGACGTTGCAACCAGCTGCAATTGCCTGGAAAAGGCCCTGGATCTGTTCAAAGGCGTGACCAGGAACCCCTGTTCGGATCTGCAGCCCGCCTCCGCTAGCTCGCCCACACAAGCAATCCTCGCCAGGAACAAAGAGACGATCCAGGCAATGCTAGCGCTTCTCAACTGCCAGCACTGTAGCGACGACAGACTACTTATAACCATTGCGCTTCTTACCACAATGAACCTGCTGCCCTGGTACGCCTCCGCAGCGGCCTTGACGGGCGCAATTGCCCCTGGCGCGGGCACCGACCATGTCTTGAAAACGAGTGCGAGCGCCCATGGAAGCCCCACGTCAAGCATGCCAGCGTCGCCAAGCCACGACCAGCCCTGTCCTCGACAAGCAAAACAACAAGTCTTGCGCGAACTGCACCCTGTGCAGCGGCTCATAACGTTACTTTCTGCGAGGCTCAAGGGCCTGGAGCAGCACAATGCCTATTTGGGCCTCGGCTTGGGCTTGGGCTTTGGCGCGGGAGCGGGAGCGGGAGCGGGAGCGGCGCAGCCACAGTCTGCGCTGAAAGAGCCAGAACGCAGCTATCAGGGCCGCAGACGCATGATGCACACGATGCCTGGGCAGGCGGGTTTTGGCGACGCAGCACTGATGATGCCCATCTCGCCCCGGGCACTCGAGGCGCTGGAAATGGATGCCCGAAGTAGTCTCGGCTTCTTATCGGCAGCTGTGAGGAATGCGCTCAAGGAAAGCTGATCAGCAGCCATGGTGTGCTAGTGCATTGGTATGGTGTCAGGCGCTGGGTCTGTTTCATCGCTTTCTTTTGGTTTGGTGCTCTGTCACGGCACTTGCTCTTTTTCCTGTGTATGTTTTCCTGCGGCTACGCCGTAGTCTTGTGCAGGGGTGTAGCATGATGGATATCCTCTGGCAATGTTCATTGGCTTAGTATGTGTATCCCTAGCAGAATATCAATGGCGCGACGGCGCAGGCAGTGTCAACGAGACGTCAATCGACACGGCATGAATTCGAGCAGTGTTCCTTGACAGCCGGCAGCAAAGCGCGAGCCGGCATGGTGCGTTTATAAAGCTGCGGCGGTAAGTATGGCCACCTGTCCACTTGGTCTGCTTTGCTGTCGGCTGCGCTGGACGCGCCCAGCAGTCGGGGTCAGTGGTGCGGGTCCTTGCAATACAGGAGACGGGTACGTGTTCTGGCGGTGTCAGTGTTGCTGATAGTCATGCTGCTGTCTCTGCGGCCCAGATGATTGACATCATGAGTCGCTGCACAAGGGCACAAAATGCCATGCTGCTGCACATCTGGCTGGGCTGGCCGTGGCTCGTGGCCAATGGGTGGCGTCCTTGGATGCTGTGCCCGGCGCCCGCGGGCTCCGGTCCATCCGGCTCCACAACCTCCTTCACATGATTGCGCCCCAGTCCTGCCACACGACGCCGTTGAAACACGCCCCAAATCCCCGAAGTGGCTCCGCAGCCATGGCATTTGGCCCTCGTTCGGTGCCCGTGGCATCCAGCCTCCGGCCCCTTCTCGCTCCCTCTGATTCGCGGTGCTTCTACCTCCATACTTGAGCCTCATGCCTGGCCCTACCCTGCCTGTCCGATCCATGCTATCGTCATCTTTTCTGACCATCGGGGCGATGGACATGGTCACTGTGCTTGGCGCCTTCACTCCACGCCCAAGATGGACCGCCTTATTAATACACTGGTACCTCCTTGCCCCCATCCAAGCACAGTCCAGTGTCTTTGTCTTCCGCATCACTGTCCAGCTGAGCTTGTGCAATGGACAACCAGGGCGGACCCACCCCTGTCCCCAGCGAGATTTTTCGCGATGATGCGAACACGCCGACTCTCTACTCGATACCCCCTTCGCCCACGGGCACAAATCGACGGGACGAATCCAAAAATGTCTACGACAGTGCAGACCAAACTTCATCCACCACCGACATTGACGAGTGGCAGCTTGCCAGAGACATTGCCCATTATGACATGAACAACCAAGCTGGCAACCGCAAGCTCGGCGTCACATGGAAAAACCTCAGTGTAAACGTTCTCCCTGCCGACGAGCGTTTCCACGAGAACATCATCACCCAGTTCAATCTTCTTCAGCTCGCCAAGGACCTTCGCGCAAAACCACCCATGAAAACCATTCTTGACTCTAGTTCTGGCTGTGTGCGTCCTGGCGAGATGCTCTTGGTCTTGGGACGTCCGGGTTCGGGGTGTACCACGCTACTCAAAATGCTGGCAAATAAGCGTAACGGGTATGTCCTACTGCACCGTCCAAGCATCATGGCAGCAACTGACTCTTGCTAGGTATGCCCAAGTAGACGGTGACGTGTACTTTGGCTCACTTGATGCCGAACAAGCAAAACAGTACTCTGGCAGTATTGTCATCAACAACGAAGAGGAGCTGTTCTACCCAACCCTCACCGTTGGCGAGACAATGGACTTTGCTAGCCGCCTCAACATGCCTGCGAACCTACAAGGAAATGGTGCCAGCCCCGCCGAGGCCCGAAGAAATTTCAAGCAGTTCCTTCTTAAGTCCATGAACATTGCCCACACCGAGGACACAAAAGTTGGCGACGCATATGTACGAGGCGTCTCCGGAGGCGAGAGAAAGCGAGTGTCTATCATCGAGACCCTTGCAACACGGGGCAGTGTTGTATGTTGGGACAATTCGACTCGCGGTTTGGATGCCTCTACGGCCCTCGAGTATGTTCGTGCACTGCGCTGCCTTACAGACACTCTGGGTATGTCTACCATTGTCACTCTATACCAAGCTGGCAATGGCATCTACGATCTGTTTGACAAGGTGCTGGTCCTTGATCAGGGCAAGCAAATCTACTACGGCCCGCGCAAGGAAGCACGTCCTTTCATGGAAAGCCTTGGCTTCGCCTGTGGAGACGGTGCCAATGTGGCGGATTATCTCACTGGCGTAACCGTACCCAGTGAACGGCAAATCAAGCCCGGCTTCGAAAACTCGTTCCCTCGCAACGACACCGAAATCCAGAATGCCTACGCTCAGTCAACGGTCAAGGCCAAGATGGACCGCGAACTCGACTATCCATCCACGGACGAGGCCAAGGCCAATACTGAGACATTTGTTAATTCTGTAAAAGCAGAAAAGTCTGGGCAGCTTCCTGACTCCTCCCCGATGACGGTATCCTTCCCTCAACAAATCAAAGCTTGCATCATTCGCCAGTACCAGGTGCTGTGGGGAGATAAGCCGAGTTTGATCATGAGGCAAGCAACCAACATCGTCCAAGCCTTGATCTGTGGGTCACTCTTCTACAACGCACCCACCAATACTGCTGGTCTGTTCATCAAATCTGGAGCCCTGTTCGTCTCTCTTCTATTCAATACTCTCTTCACCTTGTCAGAGGTAAACGATTCCTTCGTTGGCCGTCCCATCTTGGCAAAGCAGAAGAACTTTGCCTTCTTCAACCCCGCTGCTTTTTGCATTGCCCAGGTCGCCGCCGATATCCCAATCCTGATGTTCCAGGTCACCTGCTTTGTCTTGATTGTGTACTGGATGACTGCACTCAAGGCGACTGCGGCGGCGTTCTTCACCAACTGGTTTGTTGTATACGTCGTCACGCTGGCAATGACTGCCATGATGAGAACGATTGGTGCAGGATTTCCCTCCTTCAACGCTGCGTCCAAGGTATCGGGATTCGCCATCACCGCAACCATCGTTTACATGGGTGAGTAGCCCGACTATTTGCTACTTGAATCTTTTTTGCTAACACCCTTAGGATATGAGATACCGAAATCCGACATGCATCCATGGTTCGTCTGGGTCTACTGGATCAACCCATTGGCTTACGGATTTGAGTCCCTGATGGCAAATGAGTATGAAGGAACTAACATTCCGTGCGTTTATGACAATCTCATTCCAAACTACCTACCTCAATACCAGGACCCAAGCGCACAATCCTGTGCAGGAATCCGTGGTGCACGACGCGGTGCAACTTCAGTCAGTGGACAAGAGTACCTGGACAGCCTGTCCTACTCACCTTCCAACATTTGGCGCAACGTGGGAATCCTTTTCGCGTGGTGGGTCTTGTTCGTTGCCTGTACAATCTTCTTGACTCTTCGCTGGGACGACACCTCCAGCTCGAGCACTGCATACATCCCTCGCGAAAAGCAACAATATGTTCAAAGGCTTCGCACGCGCCAAGCTCGGGATGAAGAATCGCTGCAAACCGAAAAGGTCACACACAATACTACGCCCGGGGAAAAGGATGAGGAGAACAACGCCGAAACCAGTCTTATTCGCAACACGTCGATTTTCACTTGGCGAAATCTGACCTACACAGTCAAGACTCCCTCAGGTGAGCGCACTCTACTCAACAACGTCCATGGCTATGTCAAGCCTGGAATGCTTGGTGCTCTCATGGGCTCGTCGGGTGCGGGAAAAACAACTCTCCTGGATGTCCTTGCTCAACGGAAAACGGCCGGAACAATCCGAGGTGAAGTTTTGGTTGACGGCCGACCACTGCCAGTATCATTCCAACGGTCCGCAGGGTACTGCGAACAGCTTGATGTACATGACGCTTACTCCACTGTACGAGAGGCGCTCGAATTCTCCGCCTTGCTTCGTCAAAGCCGGGACACGCCTACCGAAGAGAAACTTGCGTACGTCAATACCATCATCGACCTGCTGGAATTGCACGATCTTGAGAACACAATGATTGGAACTCCTGGTGCTGGGCTTTCAGTGGAGCAGCGCAAGAGAGTTACAATTGGCGTTGAGCTGGTTTCGAAGCCCTCTATTCTCATTTTCCTCGATGAGCCCACCTCTGGTCTCGATGGTCAAGCTGCTTTCAACACCGTTCGCTTCCTTCGGAAATTAGCCGACGTCGGACAGGCGGTACTCGTTACTATCCACCAGCCCTCGGCTTTGCTATTCGCTCAGTTTGACGTTCTTCTTCTGCTCGCGAGAGGCGGCAAGACAGTCTACTTTGGCGAAATCGGCCACAACGCGGAGAAGATCAAGGAGTATTTCGGCCGCTATGACGCACCGTGCCCCCGAGGCGCTAACCCTGCAGAGCACATGATTGACGTTGTTAGCGGAAATTACCCCAGCGACAAAGACTGGCACGATGTTTGGCTCAATTCGCCCGAATCAGCGGCCTTGAATCAACACCTCGAGGAGATAATTTCTGACGCAGCAAGTAAGGAGCCTGGTACCAAAGACGATGGCTATGAGTTTGCAACCACTTTCTGGAACCAGACCAAGCTTGTTACACATCGAATGAATGTTGGCTTCTTCCGAGACACGGCCTACTTCAACAACAAGCTCCTACTCCACGGCGGTGTTGCCTTCTTCATCGGTTTCACGTTCTGGCAAATTGGACCCTCCGTTGGCGAGCAAAAGTACGTTTTGTTCTCCATATTCCAGTACATCTTCGTGGCGCCAGGCGTCATTGCCCAGTTGCAGCCAATCTTCCTGGAAAGGCGAGACGTCTACGAGACCCGCGAGAAGAAGTCCAAGATGTACTCATGGCAAGCATTTGTCACGGCCTTGATTGTTTCTGAGATACCATACCTCCTCATCTGTGGTATTCTTTACTACCTCGTGTTCTATTTTGCCTCAGGTCTACCAACAAATGCAAGCAGCGCTGGGGCTGTCTTCTTCGTGTTCTTGATTTACCAGTTCATCTATACGGGGTTTGGCCAGTTCGTGGCTGCGTACGCGCCCAACGCCGTGTTCGCCTCACTAGTCAACCCTCTACTGCTGGCTGTTCTTTGCCTCTTCTGCGGAGTCCTCATCCCGTATAGCAATATTCAGGCATTCTGGCGATACTGGCTCTACTATCTGGATCCTTTCACGTACCTGATTGGCTCACTGCTCATCTTCACCGACTGGGACTGGAAGATTGAATGCAAGGAGAGCGAATTCGCCATCTTCAACCCTCCAGACAATCAAACATGCGGACAATACTTGGAGGCATGGATGAACGGACCGGGCAGACGCACAAACCTTGTGAACCCCGACGCGATGTCTGACTGCCGTGTCTGCCAGTACACATGGGGACGCGACTATCTGGCCACTGTCAATCTTACTGAGAAATACTATGGCTGGAGAAACGCAGCTATCTGTGTCATCTTCTCGCTTTCCGGGTACATGCTTGTCTACGTTCTCATGAAGTTGAGAACAAAGGCTTCCAAGAAGGCTGAGAAGTAACGAGGCATGGTCAGACGTCCTTTCATCCGCAAATCGACTTTCTGTTGTGAAAGGAACACCTAGACCAAGACTTGCCATTTCCCTTCTCTAGGCAGGCTGTCTCCTATTCCGTTTCCTTCGTTCATCACAAAATCATAAATTGTTGTAGCGTTTCATTTAAGTTGTTAGATATCATATGCATTGGAAAGAAAAATTACTTAACTGTTTGTTGTAGAAAAAGATTTTTGAATTAGAATATTTAATATGAAATATTTTATCGACTTTACAAACGTAACATGCTTGGTGAAGAGGAGTGCTGTACTGCCAGTGAAGTCATTTACGGTATAGCAAGCCATGAATGTTGAAAGATTTGACAGCCAGCAGTCATTCATGTTTCGATAGAATGATTTGTGCTATGTGTCCATCATTTGTATCAACTTATCACTTCCATAGCCATTGTGCTCAAAAACGAAAAGAAATCGCATCTGCATGACTCTTAGGCTCCAGTGTGGGACTAGTAGTCTTCAAGTCACGTTCCCATCGTGATGAGCACAAAGCCGCTTTATGCAAGTGGTCTGAAATATCACACGGGTTGAAGTCGAGTCACATACCATCCGTAATCATCTGACCTGATTTACTTGTATTTGTTCCGGATACCACTCTGCATTACAGATAGACTAAGCAGTCAAAACATGTATAAAGACCTTTTCCCCATTGCTCTCCCACTACGCCGCACCACCATCGAGCGTAATGACCTTTCCGTTCACCCACTCGCCCTCCTTGCTAACCAGGAACCCAACCACGTTCGCGACATCCTGCGGCCACCCATTCCTGTGCAGCGGCGACGCATGCGCCGCCATTTCCTGGCGCTGCTCAGGCGTGTAGTCATTTCCATTGGGAAGGTAGTGCTGCGACACATCATGGAACATATCCGTGACGGTACCGCCGGGCGCGACGCCATTCACCGTGATCTTCTTGTCGCCACAGTCCTTGGAGAGGATGCGCACAAACGAGTCGATGGCGCCCTTGGAGCCCGAGTACAGCGAGTGCTTGGGCACGCTGAAATCCTTGGACGTGTTGGACGACGTCAGGATGATGCGGCCGCCCTCGGTCAAGTGCTTGTATGCCTCGCGGGCGACGAAGAACTGGCCGCGCGTGTTGAGGCTGAAGACGCGGTCGAATTCCTCCTCCGTCACGTCCTTGAGGTGCCCGAAGCTGACGACGCCCGAGTTGCTGACGGCAATGTCCACATGGCCAAAGTGCTCGACGGCTTGGTCGAAGAGCGACACAATCTGCGGCACTTGCCGGATGTCGGCTTTGATGGCGATGGCGTCGCTGCCCAGCGCCTTGATGTCTGAAACCACCTTTTCGGCGTCTTTGGTCGAGTTGGCGTAGTTGACCACCACTTTGGCGCCCAGACGCCCAAGATGCGTGGCGATGGCTGCGCCGATGCCACGTCCAGATCCGGTGACAACGGCGACTTTGCCGTCGAGGCGGTGGGGGATGTAGGTTTCAGCCGTCATGATGGATGTGTGTGGTGTGTGGGATATGCTCTTGGAAATCAGGGAGATAGCGAGACAACCAGGTTATTTTGTATTTCTTTTTTGGAAACCAAGAAAGTAGTTGGTGGTGAGGTGTTGCGAAAACGAGTAGGGCTTGATTCGTACTTATGTGGTGTTTGTCACGATGATATAGGCCTTTGGGGGAGTAGTAGTACTTAAAAACCTTACGACAGTTGCTTCTTGGATGGATAATTTACTAGATTGTGATCGTTGGAATCCGCGCTGCTGGGCAAAGTCTGTTCTGTTACACACGCCTAAATAATTGGCCCGTAGCTTCAATTACCAGACTTGAGGCGTCTCGTTGTATGCTGAGCTCCGTCGATCCTTTCGCCGCATCGAGTTGCTGCGTCGGCGCGGGAGGATGCATTTCTACCGATCGCCATATGGTCGGTACATAGCGATTCCTCACCCTGTCCTGTCAGCAATCCAATCCCGATCCGAGCTAGTTTACCTATTGTGTTTCTAGAGTAAGAGCTAAGCCATCTTTGGATTTCAAAGTACGTGCAATTTCCTGATTGAGTTCGTGTTGCGATGCTGAAAGCGATAATGCGCGGGATTGCCACATGTCTATGTGTCGGTGATCGGAACAAGGGCCAAAGTACAACTCGGTGGAATGCGTGCCTTCCACATGTTCCGACTTGTTTTCGTAGCCTGCACGAGCGTTCCAGGATGTATTCTATTAAAGTCTGGAGGAGATGGTTACACAAAGAAGATGGTACACCAAATCCAATAGCCATTCGCTCTTCTGTGCTGCAATAAGTGGAGCAGTCTTTTCCATCATCTCTGTCTATAGCCAATCCCAGTCCTGTCATCATGGCATCCTCGTATGCGATACTGGGTGCCACTGGCAATTGCGGCACAGCCCTCCTTGAGCTGCTGCTCAACAACACCAACGTCAAAATCAAAGCTTATTGCCGCAACAAGGACAAGCTCTTCCGACTCGTCCCCGCTGCGGCAAACAATGCTCGGGTCGAGGTCTTTACCGGCAGCATCCTCGATGCAGACTTACTCGGGAAAGCCATGTATGGCTGCAAAGCCGTCTTTCTGACCGCCACCACAAACGACAACGTGCCCGGCTGCCACATCAGCCAGGACCTTGCGCATACGGTCATCAAGGCGCTCGAACAGATCAAATCCGAGGACAAATCCCCGCCAATGCCGAGACTGGCATTGCTCTCCTCGGCCACCATTGATCCCTGGATCAGCCGCAAGAACCCCTGGGTCAACGCCATTGTCCGCCGCTCCGCATGGCACGTATACAGAGACTTGGAGCTCGCCGAGGAGCTCCTCCGACAGCACGAGGACTGGGTCAAATGCATTTACATCAAGCCCGGCGGTCTCTCGGTCGATGTGCAGCGGGGCCACAAGCTGACGCTCGACGACGAAGAGTCGTTTGTGTCTTACCTTGATATCGCGGCTGGCATGATTGAGGCCGTCGAGGACCCGGATGGCAAGTGGGATAACAAGAATGTCGGCGTGGTGAATGCGGGTGGCAAGGCCAAGTTTCCAAAGGGTACCCCCAAGTGCATCATCTGTGGCTTGTTGACTTATTACTTTCCTTTCTTGTATCCTTACCTGCCGTCGGGTACAGGGCCTGCTTAGTCGTGATGGAATATACCCTACGAGTGTGATAGCGAAGACTGCTTTCTTTGGTGTAGTGTGTGGCGGGAAATGTATTTCATGTTGAATTAAGGTTAAACTAAGGATTTTAAGTCTCAATCGCTGTTCTTTAGAAATCTCTATAAATGTGGAGATCAAATTTCTTTAAATCGAAAATGTTACACATGCAAGTTGAGCAGGTGGGAGGTTTTTTACACTCAGCCTGCCCAAAAATTGACCCCATCATAATCACACCGCTTTGCGATCGGAAGGATAGATTTCTTCTTATTTCTATCTGACTGGAGTCGCGTCCAAAAACGAAAACAAAAAACTAGAAATATTCTGAGCTTTCCATCGCCGTAGCCTCGTCGGGCGCGTGGCATCGGACATCAGCACGTTATTATATTTTCAGACCAAATCCATCTCACGTCATCTCCGAAATGCTTGGACTCGTCGGTATTTGCACACGTGCAATTGCACTCGGGTGATTGCTAGGCTGTTCTGGGATATGTTCCGATGGCAAGCACCCGAGGGTGCCAAACTGGTGGGGAAACAGCCGACGTCTGGCTGTCGCATCCACCAATGGCGAATAAAAAGATATACCAACAAGCTGTGGAACGTAATTATCGACTTCTGGGGATTGGAAACGTCCAAGAACAAATCTGGGAAAAGAATACTCAGTAAAAAAAAACCACAAGATGTCGAGCAAGGAAGTGCGACCAGCTCCCGCAGGTAAGTCACCTTAATTGATTCATCCTCTATAAGGATCAAAAGAGTAATTCCAATGATTTGCTTGCAGATGTTCTCGAATGTCAAGCTGCGGCATTTGAGTGGGCGGAAAGTTACGACAGCAAAGATTGGGATCGTCTGTCAAAATGCCTCGCGCCCGAACTCTACGTAAGCACCCCCAAACGCGCTCCATCACCTATTTCAAGGCTGAATAAACCAAAAGATTGACTACCGCACTGTCATGGGCATGATTTGGGAAAAGATGCCAGTTGCAGAATTTATTGGCATGGCATCCAGCCCCAAGTTCCTTGGTAACGCGCGTATCAAAACACAACATTTCATGGGCCAAACAAAGTGGGTTCAGAAGGAGCCGGGCTACATCCTAGGATATCATCAGATGCGCGTGGCACATCAAAAATACAAAGACGAAACCTTGACTGAGGTACTGTACAAGGGACATGCACACGGCAAAGCAACATTACATTATCGCCTTGTGGATGGCGAGTGGAAATTTGCTGGCCTTGAGCCTGGTATTCGCTGGGCAGAGGGCGATTATGGCCAGATCTTTGAAGATAATTAGTGTAATGAGATGATAGAAATGTAAATAGATTGGTGCAACGGAAAAGACTTTTAGTCAACACTATGAGTTGTAATACTGAAATCACAGTGCTATCTTACAAAGAGACCAAGTCCATTCAGGAAGAACCAGTATTTTTGGGGGTGGCTTGGTCTCTTGCGTGAAGGCAGGTACTCTATCTCATGATAGCATAATTTGATTCGAGGAATAACTCAGGGTGTTTCCCCTCTCACATTAGCCGCCTGAAGGCGACTTTGGGCACTTTCCTTTCCCGTCCCGACTGTTCACCCCGATACGAGACAGCGTTGGAATTCAATTGGCCTGGAAACATCGCCCTGCTAACAAGAGACGTGATTGTTTTCACATCGGCCATCGCTATGTCCGATGCGTAATGATGCAGAAAATGCACGCCGATCACATTAACAACAGGGTCTAGTTTTACCCACCCTCCTCGAGGCACGGTTCTACTCTGATCTTCAGGGATTCTGGAGGAATGGGGTAGCAAGCCATATCACCGTATTGATGCTGTCGCTAGACATTGAGACAATGGACGGGCCAGCCTCGTAATCGGACCATGCCTGTAAGGATCGGGCCGATTCCGACCCTTCCCACCGACATGTCGGCGGGTATGGACGATCGGCTCAATCACGTTCCTATGGGACAACATGCAGTATCAAGACAGAAGAGAAATTTCATGTAGACCTTCTAACTATGTATTAGGCTGATGCGCAGCGCCAACATGTACTGTGATAATTGCGCTGGCGCAGTCACTGCCGATAACTTATCGACCACCTAATCGATCTCCACTATTCCTTTGCAGCCCTAGAACCTTTGGGGCAATGGACATGCAGGTTTGATCTTCAGGTTACATTGCAATTCGCGCGTCACGCGGCTTACGGATACTGCTGCTTTTCGAAACAAGCCTCTAGCCATCCCGTTCCGTAAATCCTTCCGATTAGACCAGGTGCTGTAGCTTTGTGTACAACGCGATCAGCGAAGCGATCAGTGGCAAGGTTGCTCGAACGGCATGCCAGCGTGTCCACTTGTCTAGAGACTGGTGTAGAGCTTTATTTGTGGCATGATCCATCCAGAACTTCTCAGTGCCTCCACTTTTGTCGTTATTCTTTCCCAGCCTTGCAATGGTTGCTTCGAGTGGGAAAATCATGACTCTTTCCCACCAAGCTACTTGCAGCAAGGTTAAGAATGTCAGTGCGAATGGCTTCCACTGTGCTGCCTCGGCCGCGTCGGGGTGTCGTGAAAGCACGGCAGCAGTTATGCCAAACATGAAGGCAAAGCTTGCATTCAATGGCTCCAGCCAGGCGCCACCGCGCCGGGATGTTTCCAAAAGCTGCTGAACAGCGCTACTCGACGGGTTCATTTTGATTATCGGAATAACCCACAGGTTGAATGACCATGCCGTGCCTAAAACACGTGAGTCATGAGTGCCCCTTAGTCATGGTCGATTCGATCCGGAGAGACACACCTGAAATAACAAGCAGCGATATGATCATCGCCCAATGCAAGAATGGTATGACAGAAAATATCGTATCCAAGGAAGCCATTTGGGGCACGAATTTCCGAGAGCAAATAGTGTTTCTCTGCACGACAGGGCTGCCTTGCTTCAGCGTCTCGATGTAGACCAGGGATATGGAAGCAACTGCGTGAAGAGCAACTATTGGAGAGCGCAACCCGCCGAAAAGAGAGAAGGAACCGCTGACCCGATTGTACTGTGTGTGGGAAGGGCGGGTGGTTCGATATCGCAAGATGATACCAAAGATGTTTCACGGTCAATCAGCAAAGATGAGCACCCCTCTTGGCGTATATAACGGTTGGCCTTGAGTTCTTAGATTCACTCCCAAATGCCGTGCGTCGCAGGACGGAAACCGAATGCTGTGTCCAGTCACATTAGACCGAGCACGAGGAAGGTCGGCGAATGAGATTTATCCCGACCAAGAGTAACTCTACGCGAGACCAAAGCGCCCATTACGTGTGCACGATTTCAGCCGCAAAAACAGCGACTGCGATAATCGCGACCGCGGGGTACATTCTATATCATTCTGCGATAGAATCAGGGCGTTGATACCGTATCACACGCTTCAATCGAGTAGACTGATTTGTTGTCAGAAACTTCTATCACCGTCACTATCACTCCTTTTTTCACCACTCCTCGGACCGATCATGGATGAAACTTTGATTCGCGCGGCACATGCTTGGAGCATCACCGGCGCTGCCTTTTTGTCGGGTAAGCATGTTTATGCGAATGGAACTCGTAGTCCACATGTACTGAATTCAGCCTTCTCTTAGGCTTTATCGCGTGTTTCAGCCACGCCGGAGTGCCTACGCTCAGCATAGCTCCAGTCGACACTCTTGTGCATCAGTTCAAAACCATGTACAATATTGGGAAAGCTACATCACCACTGATTGCCATCACCGTCACTATTTGCAATGGCTATTCGGCCTATTGCTCTAGGGCTGACACACATCTGATTGGTGATAATGTATCTCGTTTTGCTTTGTACACAGCAGCAGCAATTTGTGTACCAAGCATTGTTCCGTACACGTTGTTGTATATGGAGCCCACTGTTAACAGCAAATTGTTGGCACTTGGTGCAAAGGTGGAAAAGGGGGCTAAAGCAAAAGACCTTGGGGTTAGTGAGCAAGAAGTTCGGGGCATGTTGAAAAGGTGGCGAGGAATGAATTTCGTTCGAGCAGCGCTTGTAGCTGCTGGTGCTGTACTGGCTGCTGTTGCTACCTTCAACTAAGCAGACTCTTTGCGAGTTTGGCGACTCAAGCAGCACACATCGAGACGAGGATGGATAAGATCACCGATGGATTAGTATAGATATTTCTTGATTTTGAATATTGGGATTGGGCCAGTCATTTCTGGGACTGTAGTTGTAATGCATGGATCTCCTTTGTATGTTCACACAAAAGTTTGTCGTCATCTTAATAAATATTTCGTCAAATGCATAACTTCAATTTTTCAACCTGATTGGAATAATTCTTGGACTCGCAGTTGTCGTTCCAATAAATACATTCTAAATGTCTCTCGCGTTCACATGAAATGAGAAAAAGAAGACGACAAGTGTAAACGGTAGACCACCCACTGAACCTTTTGCGAATGAATAAAACACACTTGAGCCAGGTTCTTGTATATCAGACTGTATTCGGTGTTCTAAATGATTCACTGTTGTTCGTGTTTTGTATCAACTCTTTCTTAGTTGATATTCGCAGTGTCTGAGCTGATACTGTTTCACAACAACATTTCATCACCAATCTATGACATTAACAGCTCACGATCAATGCAAAAATTGACGCGAAAAAATGAATGCATTGAAACTGACTAAAGCCGCACCTGACACGCATGTGGTATATCTAATGCATCTATCGAGAAGCTAAAAAAAGTATCTAAACTTAAGCGGTTGCACGCGTAACGGAAGATTGCAAATGTGGCATCGGGGTTGAGTTCTGCTCGCTCGCGATAAGGAACCACTTTCTCTGGCCCCGACAAGCCTGGAAGCCGACTTTACCATCTCCCGCGAGTTTTCGAAGCACTTCATCAATGAAGGGCTCCAATGCCAAGGTTCGGGTTGTTTCGTCCACCGAGCTTCCGTAAATGTTGTTGACAATGTCTCGGACGACGGGCCGGTTCTGCCCGTAGTCGCGGAGATTTTTCAAAGCCCTGATCACTTGTTTCTCCCTTCTGTATTTTGATGACAGTTCTCTGGAGATTTTTGTGTTCAAGTCGTCAATCGTGATGCCGTGGGCCGGGTGGCCAGCGCGGCATTTCTGGTCCATCATTTTGTGCAGACTCGACATGAAGATTCCGAGATCCTCAACTGCACTTGTACCGGTACCAAGGATGTTGTCACCGGTGAACATGGAGTTCTCTTCCTTGAGAATGAAACACATGTGGTCTTCTGAGTGGCCAGGACAATGCACTGCCTCGACAGTGGCTCCTTCGACGCAGAACTGTTGCCCGTCGTAGATGTCTTTTTGTCCTAGCTCAGGGTCGTTCTTGTAGATGTGCTCTTTCAAATGTGGGTACATTCGAATAAGATCTGGCACTCCTCCAGAGTGATCTCCGTGCCAATGAGTAACGAGAACATATTTGATGCTGATGTTGCGCGATTCCAGAGTCGATGCAAGTAGCTTGGCATACTCGGGCTCTCCTCCGGAGGTGTCAATCAATATGCGAGAGGCCCCTGTACCGACCAAGAAAGTGTTTGTGCCTTGAAATGTGAATTTTCCCGGATTTTGTCCTCGCACTCGTAGGACTCTTTCCGTTACTTGTTCGACATCGGGAATCTGTTCAAGGTTCGCTGTTTGGCCTTTCAGGTAATCTTCAAAAGCGCAGATGTTAAGCGCCTTGTTGATCTGCCTGTAACCACCCTTATCCTCCGTGCTGACTTGGTCGGTCGACATGGTGAGGGAAATAGGATTGCAGTCAAAAGAGTGGACAAGCGGAGGGGAGTTGTATGAAGAGGTAGGCTTTGATTATATTGACGTGAGTGCACAACTTTCAGCTTGCGACAGCGAAAGCCTGTTGCAGGACAGCTTTTAAATCCTTTTCTGAATTGATAATCACCTCGGTTGGTGGCTCAAGCCGTCTTTGGCTCAATCACCCGTGCTGATCACTACTGGCTGGAATTAAACACCACATCTCGATATGCATGGAAAACTATCACTATCATTGCAGGGATAATGAGCCACCATCCCGAATTAGTGATATCATGTCTCTTGTACGACTGTAATATTCATGCAATAGGTTGGTCGGAATCTCGGGTTGACGTCGGAGGTCAGGGATGGATTGGGAATTCAGTCGGTGGGATGCGGATGTTTTCGTCATCGGGCTCATTAGAATTGCTCCGTACCGCAACAACCCGACAATCTGGATGAGGCCATGCTGAATTCGGTTGCAGATACTTTGAGATGGTTCTCGCATGCCTCATCGGCATCGGGCTAGTGTAATCAGTGCTATTCCTCACTAATTAAGTAATCTGAAGCTGGCATCTGTGGGGGCCTGTCAGCAAAACCGCATACGGTAAGAACTCTGACTACACGCGCTCACCACGAGCGTTGAGACATATTATCGGTGATATGACCCGAGGCCTATTGGGGTTCCCGAGTATTGGCACTCTCAATAGACATATTAGAGTTCATATTTCAGTGTGCCGGGTACATTGTTTGCAACTTCAACACCATCACTACTTCACATTCTTTCATGAGTGTAGAACCTGAGCATACGCATTCTCCAATTTTCAGACACTGATCATTGAGTCTGAGCTACAATGGAGGTTGTGTATTTCAGTAACGAGTTCCCCAAGGAGGACCTGACGGACATCTTCCGCCAGTTACACAAGCAAAGCAAGAGCACAAATCACGAGCATCTTGCCCGCTTTACGAGAGATGCGACCAGGGCAATCAAGGAAGAGATTGAGAAGCTACCGTCGAGCTTGAAAAACCAGATACCCCCTTTCGAATCGCTCACCTCTTGGTCGGAACAGAAGGAGCTCCGTGAAGGTGAACTTTGCGGCGCGATTGATGGCGTTCTACTGATCCTCGCTCAACTCTCGGTATACATTTGGTATGTAAACTTGGAAATATTGCCATTCCTGTTACTAACATCGACAGTAATGCCGAGAACAGCGAAGAGCCATCGTTTACGCTAGAAGACACACATCTCGCGGGTCTAGGCGTGGGTTTGCTCTCAGCAGCCGCGATTGCGCTTGCTCAGGATGTAACCGAGATTCCTTTCTATGGTGCTCAAGCGATTGCCACTGCCTTTCGCATGGGAGTTCATGTACAGGCAGTGTCGAGCTACTTGGAAGCTCGAGATCTGGATGAGTCCCCAAAGACATGGGCGTACGTGGTTCACAACGTTGATCCTGAACAAACAAAGAAAGAGTTGGACGCATATCAAGAAGCAGTACCCAGTTCCGAAACCAGCCGCGTCTTCATAAGCGCCGTCAGTCGTACGTCGGTCACGATCAGTGGCCCACCTTCAAGACTTGAGAACTTGTTCAAGAAGGCTACGGCATTCAGAGATGCCAAGTCTATCGCGTTGCCCGTTTACGGAGGCATTTGCCATGCTCCACACATCTACGGGTCACACGACATCGAAGCTATCATTGAACATGTTGCAGCTTCAACAAGTCAACGAAAGACGCAGAATGCACCCAAATTCCCACTCTCGTCTACGAGCTCTGGCACCCCATACACAGCTTCCAGTGCAGTGGAGCTGTTCAGGTGTGTAGTTGGAGAACTTCTGACGAAAGCGATCGAGTGGGACAAAGTCATTGCAAACGAGGTCGAGCATGCCAAAGAGAACCAGCGAGCCCAAATCAGACTCTCCTGCTTCGGAAACTCCATTCCACTGAACGACTTCAGTACTGCTTTGCAGGATGCCATCAAGGACGCTTCTATTTCCCTGAACAACTACATGTCAGTACTTCGAAAAGACGCCACTGAGGGCACTCCCCGGGGTACAGCACAATCTAAGCTTGCCATTGTCGGAATGTCCTGCAGATTACCGGGAGGTGCAACCAGTAATGAGAGGTTTTGGGAAATTCTCGAAGCAGGTCTCGACGTCTCTCGGCAGATACCTCCGGATCGATTCGACATCACGACACACTACGACCCAGAGGGTAAAGACCTTAACAAAACAATGACACAGTATGGATGCTTCATTGATGAGCCTGGAATGTTTGACCCAAGCTTTTTCAATATGTCACCTCGAGAGGCAATGGTCGTTGATCCTCAGATGCGGTTGTCGCTCATCACTGCGTATGAGGCATTAGAACAAGCAGGATACGTCGCCAACAGGACTCCATCAAGCAAGCTCCAGCGTATCGGAACGTACTACGGTCAGGCAGCTGATGACTATCGTGAGGTAAACCAAGGACAAGAAGTCGGAACGTACTATATCCCCGGTGGATGTCGTGCTTTTGGCCCTGGCCGTATCAACTACTTCTTCAAATTTGCTGGCCCTAGCTACAGCATTGACACTGCTTGCTCTTCGGGACTTGCCGCCATCGAGGTGAGTAGATAATTTTCCAAGCCGTGGTGGGATATATACTAACTGCTGATAGGTTGCTTGCCAAGCACTATGGAATGGAGAGATTGACATGGCCGTAACTGGTGGAGTCAACATTCTCACCAACCCTGATGGTTTCACTGGCCTCTGCAAGGGCCATTTCCTTACCAAGGGCCACAATGCCTGCAAGACTTGGGATGCAACCGCCGACGGCTACTGCCGTGCCGATGGTGTAGGATCTCTTGTCATCAAAAGGCTAGAAGATGCACAAGCTGATAACGACAACATTCTCGGAGTTGTCCTTGCTGCGGGCACCAACCACTCGGCAGAAGCTGTCTCCATTACCCATCCGCATGCAGGACACCAGGCGTACCTAGCCCGTCAGATTCTCAGGGACGCGGCTGTAGACCCTCTCGACGTGTCCTACATTGAGTTGCATGGCACGGGTACACAAGCTGGTGACTTTGAGGAAATGAAGGGAGTCCTGGACGTCTATGCCCCAAACACCTTCCCAAGCCGCCGACCCGAGCAAAAGCTACATATTGGAAGTGTCAAGTCCAACGTTGGTCACGGAGAGTCAGTTGCAGGAACGACGGCACTGATCAAGGTGTTGATGATGCTGCAAAAGAACGCCATTCCTCCACACATTGGAATCAAGACCGAGATCAACCCGCGCCTGCCAAAGGATCTGGACCATCGAAACGTTGCCATACCATTTTCAATCACTGATTGGAAGAAGGATCCCAAGAAGAAACGACTCGCAGTTGTCAACAACTTCGGAGCTGCTGGGGGTAACACCATGATGCTTTTGGAGGAGGCACCTGCGGTTGAGGTAGCACGCGAGCAAGAAACCAGGCCGACCCATATTGTCACAGTCTCGGCAAAGACCAAGACCTCTCTCCGCGGTAACATCGAACGTCTCCTTACCTATCTTGACAGAAACCCCGATGTCGCGGTGTCAGATCTCGCCTACACAACCACTGCGCGCAAATACCACCACACACACAGGGTCGCGATCAGCGCTACGGATATCGCTTCGGTCAAAAAGCAGTTGACTGCGCAGTTGACAAAGATTGATTCTTTGAAGCCCCTTAACAAGGCCAATCCACCATCGGTCGCGTTTGTTTTCACCGGTCAGGGCGCCTCATACCAGTCCATGGATCTTGAACTATACCACGATGCACCAGTCTTCCGAGAGCACATCCACTACCTCGATAGACTAGCTCAAGCCCAGGGCTTCCCATCATTCATTCCAGCTGTCGACGGTTCTCATCCACGGGACTATGAACATCCACCAGTTATCACGCAACTGGCGCTGGTTTGTCTAGAAATCGCACTGGCTCACTACTGGTCTTTCTTGGGCGTCAAGCCTGACGTTGTCATGGGCCATTCCCTCGGTGAATACGCAGCTATGCATGTCGCTGGAGTCATCAGCGCAAACGACGCCATCTACATGGTCGGTTCCAGAGCACTAATGCTCCAGAAGTCATGCAAAGCAGGCAGCCATTGTATGATGGCAGTCCGAGCATCTCTGGAATCCGTTTCTACTGCTGCAAACGGCAAGCCATACACTGTGGCCTGTATCAACGGCCCATCCGACACGGTTCTTAGTGGCACCAAGGCACAGATGGACGACATCGCCGTAGACCTTGAAGCGGCCGGATACCGCTGCATCAAACTCAACGTTGCATTTGCATTCCACTCGGAACAGGTCGACCCGATCCTTGATGAGTTTGAAGCAATCAGCAAGAGCGGCGTCGTTTTCCACGAACCCAAGCTGCCTGTGATCTCTCCTCTGCTTGGCAAGGCAATCTTTGATGGGCGATCATTGAATGCCGGTTATGTGCGGAAAGCCACGCGCGAGACAGTAGACTTCCTTGCTGCCACCAGGAATGCATTGGATGTGTCGATCATCAGTGATGAAACTGTGTGGATGGAGATGGGCCCTCACCCGGTCTGCGTTGGATTCATCAAGTCGATCTTGCCGTCTACCAAGGCTGCTGTTTCGTCCTTGCGCCGTGGAGACAACAACTGGAAGACCATCTCTGAGAGCGCAGCAGCTATTCACCTCCATGGCGTGGATGTGGACTGGAATGAGTTCCACCGTCCCTTCGTGGGTGCGGTGCAGCTTCTAGATCTACCGACATATGCCTGGGATGAGAAGAACTACTGGCTTCAGTACAATGGCGACTGGTGCTTGACCAAAGGCAACAACTACTATGAGAAGAAGGTTGAGGCTGCAGAGCCTGCAGTCGGCAGTGCTCAAAAGTACGAGTCTCTGAGTTCGTTGGTGCAGAACATCATTGCGGTAAATGTGGACGGAGATCAGGCTACCGTGATCATGCAATCCGACCTGATGCAGAAGGACTTCTTGGCTGCCGCCCATGGACATCAGATGAATGACTGTGGCGTTGTGACATCAGTAAGTCTGACCCCATAGTTTCCCGCAAAACTTGCTAATATCCACTCAGTCAATCCATGCAGATATTGCTTACACTCTGGGAGAATACCTCTACCGCAAGTTCTACCCAGGAGCAAAGCGAGTCAACATGAACATTACAAATCTGCACGTGACCTCGGCCCTGATTGCCAAAAAGCACTCCATGGACACGCCACAGTTGATTCAAGTCACTGCAAGCACAGACGACATCACCAGTGGTGTGGTGGACTTGACATGGCAAAACGTCCAAGAAGATGGAAGCTGTTTGGATCCATTTGCAACAGCTCATCTTGAGTTTGGGCAAGCGGATGTTTGGCTAGAGTCCTGGAGCCCCATGGCTCATTTGGTCCAGCATCGCATTGAATCACTGGAACAGCTCGCTGCAGAGGGCAAGGCCAACCGCTTGTCACGCAACATGGCTTACACTCTTTTCGCAAAGAACCTCGTCGATTACGCCGACAAGTACCGAGGCATGCAGTCCGTTGTCATGCATGACCTCGAAGCATTTGCCGACGTAAAGCTCAGCGAGAAGGTGGACAGTGGAACCTACACGGTACCTCCATACTTCATTGACAGTGTGGCTCATCTTGCAGGCTTTATCATGAACTGCTCCGACAGCATCGACACAAACAACAACTACTGTGTCACGTCTGGTTGGAAGAGCATGCGATTTGCCGAGCCTTTGACTCCAGGAGCAAGATTCCGGTCCTATGTCAAGATGATACCCACCAAAGAGGACCCATCCACCTACTTGGGTGATGTGTACATCATGAGACCTGATGACAATTCCATTGTTGGAATGGTAGGAGGTATTCATTTCCGCCGCTTCCCGCGCATCCTGCTCAACCGGTTCTTCACTGCTCCGCAGCCCTCCAAAGCAGCCGGTCAACAAGCCAAGTCAGCTCCTGCAGCAATCAAGCCAACTCCGGTTGCGGCCAAGCCTGCACAACCAAGAGCGAAGACTACCCAGGCAAGTCAAAGCAAGCCCCTGCCCGCTAAGCAGGAGGTGTGGAAAGAAGAGCCTGAGTCTTCGTCAAGTGAGAGTGAACACAGCCACTCGGAAGCTTCAGTCAACACTTCCACGACTAGCATTGATGTTCCCGCCACTTCGGCTCCCCCAAGCAACAGCACAGTCACTAAAGCTCTCGAGCTGATTTCGCAGGAAACCGCGATTGATATCGCTGAACTGACTGATGATGCTGAATTCGCTAACCTAGGCATCGATAGTCTGATGTCTTTGGTGCTGTCTGAAAAGTTCCAGAAGGAACTCAATGTCAAGGTGAATGGTAGCTTGTTCTTGGATTACCCGACTATCGGTGATCTGCGCGAGTGGCTAGAGAAGTACTACAGCTAGACGGGGGTGGCTTTGAACTTTCCTTGTTTTTTTATTATGTTTTTCTGTCTTTTTGGTTTTTTTTGGGTTTTTATGTTTTTTTTGGATATTTTCTGTCATGTCTTTCGGGTCCGCACTGTGTGGGTATTGGTTTCATACTTAACGGAATGATTGATACAGTAACATATCAATCACATATAATTCCTCAAGTTTTATCAACAGAATGCATATGGTTATAGAAAATTAAATTGCTACTTCCATCCTGCAGACCCTATTAATAGCTTTCGAACTTATAAAAAAACAGGCAGATATCAAGAGTTCAGGATGTGAAAATGGTACCTAACCGAACCATTTGCCTGAACATCGAGGGGAAAAGGCATTATGACTACGGAAACTATAATGGAGGAGACTTTTGAAACGTAAGCAGGACTCCACTAGTCATTGAGTATATCTAGGCATGTCTAATCTATCCTTAGTTACATCAATATCGGTTGCTTTTTCAGTGATAAAAATCCCACTATCAGTTGCAACACTGCTCCATCCGCATATAACATCTCGCCAACGCTCACGATTGCTAAAATGACCACAACCTAAAATATACTCGAGACCTTGGTCCGCCCATCCAACATCTTATAACGTCACGTAGAAATACACAGTAGATATACATAAGTTTTACGCTGACAGGAATGCGCAAAACACCTCACACCAGTTGTTCAATTTCACAGCCAACCCAGAAACACCACTGCCACAGTAATAGCTGTAGCTACGAGTGGTATTGAGCGTCGTCCATAGTTCTGAGCCGCAATTCCTTTGCCTTTGTCAGCTTCATCTAGCACACACGGAGAGAAACTACATACCCTCATCACCATCGGTACCAGTTTCCTGGGCTCCGTTTCCAGATTCGTCCGTGGAAGTCGGTGTTGAAGTCTCCCTGGCACCAGTCTCCGAACCAGACGCACTCGCGTCTCCGCTCAACTTTACGCATAGACTCTCAAGGAAAGGGCGAGATGCCGGAATCATGCCATTGATGCAGTTGGAGAAGTCATTTCGGTCGTCTGCCTCGCAGAATTGCGTGCAGTTGTCCTTGAGGCGCACCTCGGAACCTTGGTTGCAGCACGATGTGATGTTGACGTCGTCAGGACGGACATTGACTTGGCAGACTTGGCCTGAGAACCCAGCGCGATCTATATCGTTGAGCGTGACGTCGCCTATGCAAGCCGTGGGTGTGGGAATGGCGTTTCCAGTTGTGAGAGAGCTAAGTGAAGATGTCATGCTGTGGGATTATGTAATAAGATCAACGATGAGCAGGCGTTGGAATGGCGTGCATCGATTCATGAACGTGGAAAAAATTAGAGCCTGCTCAATATACTTGGGGACTTACCAGCTTGAAATCAAGGCAGCGAGAATGCTGAGATAGTTCTCACAGCACAGCGCCTTGGCAGAAGTCAGGCGCCACGATAGTGGCGATGAGGCATCCAAGCCACAGCCTATAAGGTCAGCATTATGCTTGGCTTCGATCTGTACATCTCAAGACCCACCATGTGTGAGTTCCGATCGCGCTTTTTGCTGGTAGTTGGTTCAAGGTTGGATTGGTGGGGACGGCACACGGCTTCCATGCCAAGCGCGAAGACGGCTAGCGGCAACCTGCTGACGTTGCTGTGAACGCATTGGGAGTCGAATGGGAATCCTGGTCTATAGATTTTCAAGTAAAAGAGTAGGGGTATCAAGAAACGCCAGTCTTCAAGAAGCCGAGAAGAAGGCAACTGACGCAGGGCTAGAGAGGTGACCCACTAATCTTTGCACACATGCGCTGATGAAGATTTTGCAGTTGCTTTCCCTAGATTACATTAAATCGTAGACATCTTCGGCCTAGACTAGAGACAATTATATGCCAGTGTTAGGCTTGGCAGAAACAGTGATAGAGCCCAATATCGTTCCATTTGATCAGAAGCGTCGCATCCGTAGCCAACCACATGACGACGCTTCTTGACTTGCTATAGTAGTTCTAGAGCTTAGGCCACTTTAGTATTCTAGGCTCTTACTTAGGGACTTTTATATTCGGATAAAATGCACCAACCAAACGAGTTTTTTATCCCATTATTTTGGTCCACCAAGGGCTAGGCTACTGCTGCTCGTGCGAACTCTTAGGGGCAATCTATATAGCATAGTACTGCGGCTATACGTTGGACCTTCCGCTAACCTCCAACAGCAGGATTACCACCAACTATGTACAGTTCTGCCTGAGGCAGTTTATTCACAGTCTTATCAAAATAGAGACATTGTGATCTAGTGAAGCTCAAGCCTGCATAGTCCAAAGAGCTTAGCGCCTCTATAGCAAATCGAGACAGGACGAACCGATAGACTCGAGTCGAGGCACAAGATCAGGAAAAGGGACGATAGAGGACGAGATAGCCAACAGGGCCAAGAGGTTCCACGCAGCCTTTGCAGGCATCGTGATATCCTTACCACGTGGGTTCATATCGCAGGGCAACCGTGCATAGATTGTGCTAGCGCCAACGATACTTATGCAGATGCGTAGAGATGCTATACTAATCCAAATAGGCTGTAAAGCCCCCGAGACTGTAGCGCGTTTAACCTGATTATCCTTGTATCCCCTACACACAAAAAATGTGAGTGTTCTACGCCCAACACAACATAAAACACTACACCACCACAAAAACAGAAAGCTAATACTAAAGTAAGTTTCTAAGAGTGCTACTACTAAGAGCAGTAGAGATTACACATCATCACGAAAAGTTGAACCCCCGCTTCAATATTCACTCTGTATCGCGTCGTGGTAGTAGGAGCGTTAGCCACAGACCTACTTACGGCGACACCGCAACACATACTTATTGAGGATCTCCGCATAATCATCTCCACGCAACTACCGCGTCCACACTACATGTCAATAATACAAAAGAAGAAGAAGAAGAACACAAAAGATTTGCTGCAGCCCGAACATGCATACCTGGTTCCATCTCCCTACCTGATCTTTCCCTTCCTACATGTAAAAAACACAAAATACCCACACGCACTATTGCTGAAGATAGACGTTGGAGAGGGAAGACAAAGAGAAAGACAATATGGCATGCCCCACACCCCCAACGTTCCCCACCACAACCACAACCACAAAAGGCACCCAAGCTTTTTACCCCGCATGCATCCGTCAGAACACGCATCGTACGCACCGCAAAGACCCATTTCGCGTTTCGGCCCGATTTACGGACGAAGCGTGTGTATATGCATGTGGAAGAATGGTCCGGCGCGGCAGCATGTATGTATCCATGTATGCATGCATGTGTGTATGTTTGTTTGTTTGTTCATGTGTTTGTGAAAACAAGAATAAATGCTGCAAGTCAAGTGCGCGCTCTGAATTAAATAGCATCAAGTATGAAAAGCATTCGGATTTTGTAAAGTGATCACTATCCTGTTTCATATTTGTACAGTACGTACGTTTTAGGAGGGTGGGGGGTTCTTTTTTTTTCTCTTCATGAATATACATGTACGTAAACTTCTCTACATATATGTTGCAAAGATTCCCAGAGAATGGCGGTTACTGTTCTTTTTCTTGTTGGCTCGACAACTGATACTTGACCGGACGATTATATTTGGAAAGCGACATTAGCGCTTCCTGGCCTTCACGAATAACAGTCTGCTTTATTTGGTCGTTGCGAGGGATGAATTGGACTTTGAAGGGTTTAGGACGCCAATTTCCTCCGCTCCTGGTTTGGTGTTAGCGTCTTCGTTGCCCTCCATGCAGACATGGTTTTAGATGGTGACTTACGTGTAGTTGTTGATGTCCACAGGTATCTCTTTGCCCGTCTCGTCAACGGCAGGCAGGATCTTGTAGGCCCAGAGTAACCGCGCAACGCTCAAATGGGTTCCCTGCTCGGCGAGAGCTTGGCCTGCACAGCTTCTTCGGCCCCATCCAAACGTCATGTATCCCTTTTCTCCAGGGAACGGTCGGCGGTCTTCCGTGTCGAGGAACCTCTTTGGGTTGAAACGATCGGGGTCCGGGAATTCGCGCTCGTGGTGATGGATAGCCCATATGTTTCCTTGGACCCATGTGCCCTTGGGAATGTAGTAGCCATTGTAGACATCGTCTTGGTTGGGTGCGTGCGGCTTTCCGCCGACAATTGCGACGGAGCGCCAGCGGAACACTTCTTTGGTAAAGGCCCGGATGTAGGGTAGGTCGTCTTCGAGCGTCGGACTTCGCGAGTTGCCTACAACACGGTCGAGCTCGTCCCAGGCAGGCTTCACGGTCTCGGGAAAGGCGCGCATGGCTAGCACGGCAGTGATGAGAGTATAGCTAGATGTCTCTGAGCCAGCACCGAAAAGATTGGCGGCTAAATTCGTGACCTCGTTACGATGAAGTTTGTACCTTTCAGCTTCGCGGAAGATGAATTTTGCATAGTTTTCCTCTGGAGTTTGCAATGCTTCTTCGGCGAGGGTGTAGAAGAAGGTTTCACGGTCGTACTTGATATTCTTGGGCTTTTTGAAGCTGCGCATCCAGGGTGCGATTGAACTTGGAAATTTGGCTAGCCCTGAAATCCGGTCAGAGAAATCTTCTCTCCTGATGCGACATCACTTACATGGGAATGACTCCATGATGAGCGGAAATTCTTTGCCGACGACGGCCAGGTGGCCCGCTCTCTGCATTTGAGCTATTACTTCTGTAATCAGCGGATCTTGATCATCCTCGATACGCCGTCCGAAGCCGATGATGGAGACAACACTCGATGCATAGCGTTCAAAATGTGTGGTAAACCTATCCGGCGATGTCAGAAGGTCGTAAACCACCACCTTGTTCTCGTCGTCTTGAAAGCTTCGGTATTGCAAAACCTGGGATTGTCAGCCACGAATCATTCGTCACGTGAATGGCTTACTTGTTGTATGCCAACACCATGATGTGTGATCTTTCGCAGCTCGCGAAATTTCTGTCTTTGCTCGTTGGTATATGTGTATTTGTGAATGAGATTGTATTGTCCGTTCATCATATCACCAAATAAGAGCATGCGTGGCCTGGAATTGTAAATGTTGGAGCGTTTGACCAGAATCTCATCTGCTGTCCAGGCATCATTGATCCAGATTGTGGGTCGTCTGCATAGCGTTAGTCTCTTGCATACTAGACGTCGCAGCGGCGACTGACCTTCCAATCCAAAACGTGATCAAGGGGGAGTTGTATTCTTTTGAGAGCTTCTCGACCGTATACCAGGGCTTTTCTTCAGGAAGGCTAAGTGTATTTCCAAAAAGAGGTAATGGCAACGGGCCAGGTGGCTATTCAATTGTTAGTGCTTATTGAAATGTGCATGGGGTTGGCAGAGACGCAACCATCCGTTTTCTCAAAGACAGCATGCGAAGATAATCGAAAACCAAGGCTATTATGCCCATCACAAGGACGGAGACAACCCACAAGCCTGAAGGCTGGAAGAGGGTCCAGCCTCCTCCCTTTTCAGAAATCATAGCGAGAGCCAAGGTATGAATGTTGGTAGTTTATTCCCACCAAAGATGGTGCATGGAAAGTTGATGTGGGTGTGTAGTGCATTTATAAACCTTGGGGAGTGTGGTTGTATCTGTCACTCGCCATCCCCACATTCTGATTTGGTGGGGCAGCACGCTATGGCGGGTAGCTGGACATAGATCTTACATGGCAGAAAAGTGGCACGCGGGATTTGCAAAGGCCGAAGACCGAGCAAGTGATTGGTGTCGGAGGACATGACGAGGATACCTAGTCTGATTCGTGTTAACAATGTACGTAAGTATTCGCAATTTCACGTGCCAATACACGTGTATTCTTTTTACAGAGCATTCAGCGCAATGCAGGTGTACTTTTTCACTAAGAGCTTACTCGCTTCTTCGTGGTATGGTTTTGTATTTGGACATGTCCAGTGTCTACGGATGGCTCGGTTCAAGCGGCATGTTTGCTCGTAATAGTTTAATGCAGTATTATTTGACAGAAACATACAGGCAATGTAATGACTGCTGCAGGTTGGTTTTCCATCTTCGATGCGAAAGGTCTTCTTTATGTGCTATCAGTGTCGATTACCGCTGGACTGTCCACGTAGACCGGACCTGGCGGAAATGGCACGGAAAAGGCGGATTGTTGATATGAGCCTGAAGCAGCTTTCAAGAGACTGGCATGAGAATTCCGAATGTATTATATAAATAGAGCGACACGACAGTTCCCGAGTGGAGGATGTCACTTCTGCTGACCTGTTATTTGAGTTCATCCATGTCCTTTTGTGGAATAGGCTTTCGTATTCGTGACCAGAGACGGATTCGCTCCAACTGCGGCGGCTGTGCAACCAGCTGCAACGTCTATGGAGAGTGGCATCCCCTGGTGTACTGGCAGCGTACCAAGGTGACGAGAATAGCGCTGCAAGAATCAGCTGTGGACAGGGTGGACGTGGAAGAGGCGCTGCCGGTGCGCGGTTTGTTGGATGACGCACGGCGAAACTGCGGATGGGCTGCTGGATTGGGTTTAGCGCATGGGCCATGGGTGTCATCGCAATGCGCCCGCCATGGCACCCATGTGTGATGCGAGTACATGGCCTTGAAGCGGGCGGGAGCATGCCTTGGACACGTCTCACCCTTTGCGCGCGAATGAATCCACTGCCACCGCCACCGCCAACATGAATGCCATGCACATAGCGGGCGAGGCCTGTGACATAGCCAACGTCGGCGCCCATGGCACGAAGCGTACGTCTCCACCTGCTGCATGCAATGCAATGCACGACACTGTCCAGTCGCTAACACTGCCAATGGCTCCAGGCCGGCGAAGCTCGACGGTGCTGAACCCCAGGAACTACGTCAAGGAAGAGCTGTGGACACGGGCGCCCGTGTTTACCGGCAGCACGCAGTTCGAGCCGCTGCCGGATGCGACAAACATCCTCATCACTGGCGGAGCCGGCTTCATGTACGTCGCGACGAGACCACGGGAGGTTGCGAGCTGTGCGTCTCTTCCCTTGGGTCGCGCGCCCTCGACTGACACGCGTACAGAGCCTGCTGGTTTGCGCGCCATCTGGTTCTCACGTACCCCCACTACAACGTCGTCTCGTTCGACCGGCTCGACTACTGTGCCACGCTCAACAACACGCGCATCCTCGACGGCCGGCCCAACTTTGCCTTTGAGCAGGGCGACATCACGCTGCCCGCCGACGTCAAGCGCGTGCTGCGGAGGCACAGAATCGACACCATCTTCCACTTTGCCGCCCAGTCGCACGTCGACCTCAGCTTCGGCAACTCGTACGAGTTCACAAACACCAATGTATACGGCACCCACGTCCTGCTCGAGCGAGCGAGGGAGCATGGCGTCAACAGGTTCATCCACATCTCGACGGACGAAGTGTACGGCGACGTGCCCATTGGCGCCGCCGACCTGAGCGAGACGAGCATACTGGCGCCGACGAACCCATACTCGGCCAGCAAGGCCGCAGCAGAAATGATGGTCAGCGCATATCGCAGCAGCTTCAAATTGCCCCTGATCACGGTTCGGGCAAATAACGTCTATGGGCCGCACCAATTCCCCGAAAGTAGGTGACGCACGCTTTCACGCAGGGATGCGCAAACCTGACGGCGAGGCAGAGATTATCCCCAAGTTCATCATGCTCCTGCAACGAAAGCAGAAGCTTCTCCTTCACGGCGACGGCTCGCCCACGCGGCGCTATCTGTACGCAGGAGACATTGTGGATGCGCTGGACACGATCCTGCACAAGGGCGCCGTTGGGCAGATCTACAACATTGCCTCCAAGGACGAAATATCAAACACGGAGATTTGCCGCCGTCTCCTCGACAACTTCGGCATCCCGAGCAGCACGCCGGCTGAATTTGCGCAATGGGTACAGCACACCGAGGATCGGCCGTTCAATGATCAGCGCTATGCGACCGACGGCTCCAAGCTCACGGCGCTAGGATGGCAACCCAAGACGAGCTTCGACGAGGGACTCAAGACGACAGTAGAGTGGTATCGCCGGTTTGGCGAAGTGTGGTGGGGCGATATCAGCAGGGTCTTGACGTCTTTTCCGGTAGTAACAGGGAATGAAATCTGGACAAAGGAAGAGCACGAAGACCTGCCCTCGTCTGATGGCGAAGGCATGCATGAAGAAGACAGCGCCGTATGGACGATATAGCATCGTGTCTGTTTGGGCATTGGGTGACAACGGGCGACTGTCTTTGCCCCCCGAAACAAGGGACGTGTTACATGTGGATGGAGGTTGCGACAAGAAGCTGCGATTAGATACCCTCAAGACAGACGTAATGTGTAGACCTGATTCCATTCCGCGCTCTTATTATTCTGTCTTTTGAATCCAAGTCTGTTTCGTCTAGTCCGTCCATGGCCATGGGCGCTTTTTCCACTGCTGCCCCTGCGCGACTGGCACAAGCAGGATGCAGTAATGATATGCAGGGACCGAAAACAATGGGACCAGCCAACCCAACCCCATGCAGCCCAATCTCCCACGAGTCCAAGGTTACGTTGGCCAGGTGAGCAGCTTGAACAATCAAGGCAAAGGAAGAGGCGAAGCATTGCTAGCATCACGTCGTCTCTACCAATCATGTGCATGCACTGCCACTGCAAGCGGTGGCGTACCTGAACTCCGCCCTCTGGCTAGCGTCAGCTTCTGGGCGCTTGAGCGTGCAAGATTGAAACACCAGACGCCCCGGCCTGCTGTCGCTAAAACACCCCTCATCTCCCTGTAACTTAAACTTTACATAAAGCCAACGTCGCTCGCTTGTCTGTCCATGTTGAAATTAGACCGTCGTGAATTGGCAGCCCCGACAGCTGTTCTTCACACAATCGATAAGACGCATCCCCACAATTAGCTAGCTGCCTTCCCGACCCGTCGGCCCTCACCGTCCCAACGGCCACTCCCAACCCTTCACCTCACTCCTCCAATACATAAACGCCGACCCCAGAGGTCGCCAACCACATCCAAATCTAGCCTTTGCCAATCCACACTCCGACACGCCACCATGGGGCTCTTTGGCAAGAAGAAGGACAAGGGTGCTGAGGCTGAAGACAGCAACCGCTCCGCCCTTTTTGGCAACCGCAAGGGAAAAGAGAGCCCTGCCGCTCAGAATCCCTATGCCGCGCCTCCAGCAAACGACCCCTATGCTCAACCACCTCCCTCATACTCCAACTCGGGCCCCGACAACTCTTTCCGCCAAGAGAAGACGCCCGCAGTGACGGGACCAGGCCAGAGCTACGGACAGCAATCGGGTGGATATGGCGCTCAAGGAGGCAGCTACGGCGCTCAGTCGGGATATGGGAATGACCGTTACGGCGGCGGTGGCGCGACTCAGCGCCCTGGTGGTTACGGCGGACTCGGCAGAACTCCATCGAATGACACCATGGCGACTGATGCTGGTCGCAACGAGCTTTTCGGCAATGCCGCCCAACGACAACAAGCGCGACCGCAACAAGAATCCGGTGGCTATGGACAGAGCGGCGCCTATGGCGATAGCCAGAGCGGTGCATACGGTGGCGGTGCTTCAGGGGGCTATGGTTCCACACCAGGTGGATACGGCACCTACGAAGACCGTCAACTGACGGCTGAGGAGCAGGAAGAGGTAAGTCTTGCAAGCTCAATGACTCCGAGATATGCGCTAACCTCGCCCCTCCCATCGTATAGGAAGACATCAAGGCCACCAAGCAAGAGATCAAGTTCATCAAGCAACAAGATGTGTCCAGCACGAGGAACGCTCTTCGTCTAGCCGAACAGGCCTTGGAAACTGGTCGTGGAACCCTGTCTACCATGGCAGCGCAAGGAGAGCGAATCCACAAGTACAGTTCAACACGCCCCTGGACTCTTACCAAGGCTCTAACATTTTCGCAGCACTGAACGCAACCTTGATCTGGCCGCTATCCAAAGTGACAGGGCTTCAGGACAGACCAAAGAGCTTGCCCGTAAGTGACGGTCCAGGTCGATACCTCGAAACCAATACTGACTAGTGCCAGGAATCAACGCCAGCATGTTTTCCATCGTACCCAACCCCTTCACCGGCAACTCGAAACGCGAGAAGGAAATGCAGCGAGCAATGGACCAGCATGCACGCGACCGCGAGACGCGTGAAGCAACCAACAAGGCGGCCTGGGAGTCGAATGCCCGTGCAAATGCTGCCCAACGAGGGCTACAGACCGCTGGTGCGGGCATAGGAGGCAACAAGGCCTCACTGGCCCAGCGCTCAAAGTACCAGATGGAGCCCGACTCTGAGGACGATGAAATGGAGAATGAGATTGAAAACAACTTGGGTACGTTCCTTTTCACACTACACGATTTCCATAGATGAAATTTACTAACCGCTGAATAACAGATCAACTCCATATCGCCGCAAAGAGCCTTAACCACCTCGGTCGCGCTATGGGCGAAGAAGCAGACAGGCAGAATGAGCACATCACCCGCATCACGGGCAAGACGGACAATGTCGACGATAAGATCGCCAGGAACAGGCTCAAGCTTGATCGTATCCGTTAAACCGGCGTCTTTGTACAAATTCGAGTCTTTGTGGGAGGGGGTTCGAGGCAGCATGGTTAGATTGTCGATATTGCATCTAGGCGTTTTTTTATGCAGATGAAGAAGAATGAATGAATTGATGGATGAATGAATGCTAAATGCTGCGCCCCTTCTGTTGAAATAGCGAGAGGGATATATCTCATATCATGTCATGTCATTGTGCTTCATCATATACAACAAGTGCTACCAACCCTAATTTTTTTTCCCCGCAAACTGGACATGATTGAAAAAGGTACAACACCATATGTAAAATCACGCTTCGTAATCCATTACTCGAAAGCAAGTATATATCTGTTCCCTTATTTGGCCCACAATCTGTAAACCCCTACCCCAACCCCAAACCCCAAAAGCATCGCGACCATGAATAACTCCACGAAAAATTCTTCTTCTTTTATTCATTTTTTTTCTCCCTTTGATTTCTCTTTCCCACCAGCACGAGCACGAGCACCAAGGCCACCTACCGAGTGTTATGAAAAAAAAAAGAGAGGTACCTTTTTCTTCACAGCCTCACGCAAGCACAACCTTGTAACTCGCCACTTCAAACGCCCTAACGTCAATTTGGACACCCTCCTGCTCATCGTCTCCCTCGCCCGTAGCAAACACGCCAATTTGCAGCTCACTCTTGCCATCGTCATACTCGTCCTCAAGCGCATTGACTTTAACGACGCGCTTGACTTTGAGGTCGCCCCATGTAAGCAGGCCTCTGCTCTTTCCGCCGAGCGAGTCGTAGACGCGCAGGATAACGCAGTGGCCTGGTTTGACGGGGAGTTCGCCGCGGGAAACGTCCTCGTCGTCTTCGCCGCGTTTGATGGTGTCGAGGACGAGGTTGTCTGCGCTGTAGATGTGGAAGGGGTTGAGGAGAGCGGCGGAGAGCGGCGTGGGCTGCGCGGCGTTGTGTCCGACGATTTTGAGCGGGTTGTTGAATTCAAAGGCTTTGCGGACGGTGCGCTGGTCCAGGCCGCCCGTGTGCGGGAACATGGCGTAGCGCGTCTGGTGGGTTCCCATGTCGGCGTGGCCGTCGGGTGCCTTGGGGGCACGCAGCAGGGAAAGACGCATGACGTTTCCGACTGTGGCGAAGCCGTACTTGTTGTCGTTGAGAATGGATATGCCGTATGTGGCCTCGGAGAGGTCCGCCCATTTGTGGCAGCAGACCTCGAACTTGGCCATGTCCCACGACGTGTTGTAGTGGGTAGGTCGGCGCACAATGCCGAATTGCGTTTCGTAGCTGGCCTCTGTGTTGACAATGTCGACGGGGAACTCGACCTTGAGGAACCTCATCGTCTCGTGCCATTCGATTTCAGCATCAAACTCAATGGCGGATGCAGCGGTGCTGACTGCCGGCAAGCTCATCGTCGTCTTGATCCACGACTTGTCTGAGATCTGCGTCTCGATTTGCAGGCTTACGCGGTACGGACTGTTTTCTGTTACAGTGACCTTGTTCGCTTCGAGTTCCTTCCGTGACTCTAGATGGTAGACTTCCACGTCCCAGGCCTGCCAGTAAAGAGGCTTGTCATCGAAGATGACATATTGAGCGGCCTTGGCTCCCTTTGGAATTAGTTCGCGTTGCGCGTGGTTGTCATAGAGCGAAGTAATGGTGCCATCAGTGACTTGCACCACAAATTGGCTGTTGCGCATTTCGTAAACATTGAAGTCAACCTGCTTGATAGATGCCGTATGGGCGGGGTGATCTGAAGTAAGGGGGCGAATCTCCAGAGCGCCCAAGCCCTTTTGAGATCCGTCACGGTGAGCGAGACCGTATCTGGTCTCACCCAAACCGTATCTCGATTGACTTGCGGTACTGGGTAGTTTGATAATCTCAGTGCGGTTCCATGGCAAGGTGTTGAGAGCCATAAGCTTGGTGTCTTCGTTCCAAGTGGTCTCGTCACCGAAGCCGAGCTCAGCCAGTGCGTCGGAAAGCAATCTCTCTCCAGTGGCAAACACATTGGCATAGATCTAGCATAGTCAGCACCTATTCGAACAAAATTCAAGGCGGAAACTTACGCGATCGGAATCATCGTAACAAATCTCAATCGAACTTCCAGGCAGGCAGTCGTGGAACTGGCACAGCAGCACGTCTTCCCACATATCATCAAGTTCCTTCTTGGGATACATGTATGGAGTCTTCTTTCCAAAGCCACTCTTGATCGTGGCCAAGGTCGCAAGATATTCAATGTCCCTCAGCATAATCTCAGACTTGCGGTTGTTGCGCTTGTTGTTTGCCTGCGTCGTGTACGTTCCGCGGTGGAGCTCAAAGTATAGTTCGCCATACCACGTAACTAGTTTAGTGCCGTTCTCGACATTCTTCTCCAGACGGTCAAAGAAGTCGTCTGCAGAGTCACCAAGCTTGAGGCGAGGAAGCAGACCAGCGGTGTCGCTCATGCCACGGCATCTCCTGAGCTTTTCGAGGTGCTGCCATGTTGGGCCACCACCTCCATCTCCCTTTCCAAAGATGAGCAGCGATGATTTGTCCTGGTCAAGAGACTTGTGTTGCGTTACGCTGCGTTTCACATCTCCAAAGTTGGCCTCGCCAGTGTATGTCTCGGAGGGCGGCATGTGGCAGATAACCTGGCTGTTATCGAGGGCAACCCAATTGAAAGTAGTGTGGGGAAAGGTGTTGATGTTATTCCAACTCAGTTTTTGGGTCAGGAAACGAGTCATGCCCGAAATACGGCAGATCTGGGGTAGCTGCGTGGAGTATCCGAAAGTGTCTGGCAGCCAAAACGTGCGGCATCGTTGGCCAAATCTACTTTCAAAGTAACGTTGGCCGTACAGGAACTGCCTGATGAGGGACTCTCCACCGGGCAAGTTGGTGTCATGCTCGATCCAGCTACCGCCGATAGGCTGGAAGCTACCTTCCTTGACCTTCTTCTTGACGCGGTCGAACGTGGATGGGTAGTACTGCTCCAGCCATTTGTACTGCTGTGGCTGGGAGCAGCAGAAGCGTAGCTCAGGGTATCGGTCAATGAGATCGCACTGGTTCGACCAGGATCGGTTGACTTTGCGCTTGGTTTCATCAAAAGGCCACAACCAACACGTGTCGATGTGGCAGTACCCAATGCCGTGTACAATAGCCTCCTGGTCTGTTTCGTACACCTTGTGCGAATCGACGTCGTTACCAATGTACTCGGCGGCGATCTTTCGGGCCGCCCGGATACTCTCTCGACTTCCATTGCCAGCAATAAATGTGTCCATGATTCGATTGCAGACCTGCTGGGCATCGTGGATCTGGGTCGAGTCTGAGGGAAATTCGCGGGCTGCGTCGGAAATCTCCCAAAAGTCAAAGTAGAGGGCTCTCGCGTCTAGATTGACCGCCTGGACCTCGACAGTGTGCAGCCTGTAGTACTTGTTTGGGTTTGGGGGCTGAATCGAGTCTCCGCCAGGCGCATTACCAAACATGCCGTTGCAAGCCATCTCGATGTAAAAGGTATGCTCCTTGCCATCTCGGAACTCCTTGGGCAGTATCCATTGTGTCCGCTCGCCTCCGCCCGTCAGTCCGTGCACAGTGTGACCGTCTTCGGTCCAGATCAAGCCCTCGTTGTCCGCATCCCACACAAACTCGAGATGTTCCTTGTCTAGCATGTGCTCGGGGAGGGTGAGCTGGATCTTGAACCAGTGTGTCGACCAACTGGGGCCAAAGGACTCGCCGACCTTGGTCGGGTGGAACTCATGCGACGTTGCCTCTTTGAACAAAGGACGTGAGAGGTCTGGGGGTGAGTATACGGAGAGCTTGATCCACTCAGGACCTGACGTGGTGGCTTCGGTGAGCTTGCTAGACGACACATAAGCATACTATAGCGGAGTCTGTGGGTAGTAGCCATGGCCACTACGGGCTCCAAGAGCTTACCCGATAAGATTCTGCCCTCTGTACTGTCCGCCATCGAAAAACTGCCTCAAACGACTCTGGTAAATGCTGTGAATCTGCTGACCGACGGGGCCTTCAGCTAGCTTGGGGTAGTCCTTTGCTACCGGCACCGGCATGTTGCGATGCGATTCTCCCCCCATGGTAGACAGAGTTTACAGGTGTCAAAATTTAAAACTTGGTATGTGGGTTGATGTGAGAGTGAAGGAGGTGAAGTTAGCTGGAAGCCACAAGAGCTGTGGTACCTTGCATTGGCCTTGAACGGTCCGGTGTTGGGGGTAGCTGGAGCTTTCCCCGCATCTTGGCGGATTGTGGCCCATGCTCCCGCACTTACTTATCGATTATCCGCCCATCTCCACTTGAATGCTTCTTCCTTTGAGTTTCCGTGTCACGCTTCTTCTCGGATATTTCCCATGCGCGAACGGTTGTCTTCCAGACTCATGTTTGAAAATCAACTGGGATGTATCCTGTTCTTTTCATCATGAAGCCGCCACTGCGGTGTTGAGACTCCATGTGCTCCAAGATACCATCCAACAGTGTCATTGAGCATTTGCCCAGTGTAGCAACAATGCGGTTTGACCATCAAACTTTGGTGTAGTATAGCGTGTCCTGCATGCAGATATCAACCTTCGGGTCTGATGATCAAGTCTGGGTCGTCTTGTTGTCATTGTTCATTTCTTTGTGTGTTTGCTTTTTGCTTCTTGGCTTTGCTTTTGCTTTTGCATCGGATCCCCGAGTCATGTCGTGTCCTAGACTGCTATCTATCTGCATCCTTGTTGGACCTGAAAATACCTCGCAGGGGACTCATCCGATTGGTGTGGTCAACACTGTTGTCACAAAGAGCCTGGGGAGCAGTCGTGATAGATACACCTACAAGGGCTTGTGGATGTGCTTTTGCACCCATGTGACTTGTGTTTTGTGGGCCTGCAATCGGTCATGTGTTATGAAATTGGGAAAAGCTTCAATAAATGGGGAAAAATCAATTTATTACATTAAACTCTAAATGTCAGTGATAGGTATTCGTTCCAGTAGTAGGGACATATTGTTTGTTTTACAAGTATGAATATCTTATGTAAGATCAACCATAGTTGTCATTGTACACAGTATGCATTCCGGTACTTGTCCCGTCCGCTCTAATTAGACAGCATGCTACCACTACTGCAGACACACTGACTCTCCGTTTTTCCGGCTCTCCCAGAGGCCATGAGTCTGTTCGGCAATTGCAATGCTCGAAGTAGATTTTGTATGTATCTATCAAATGAATTAGCTGCAGGCATTGTATGGCATGGTTGTCTGGTCAACAAGAGTAATAAAGGTAGGTAATATAGACTGTTCGATATAGGGCGACCGTACACTCGTCCAATAAGATAGATGTTAACATGGTACCAAAAAAGAAGCGGCACTGCCTCGTTGAATGCAGGGGCTTCATCAAGCTGCTTCCAAGGCCTGTATGCAGATAAACAGCGGGTCGTTGAGCAAATAATGGTACGCCATGCTCGGTCCGGTCCATTTAGACGTAAGCAGAGTGGGGCCAGACAAAAAGCCCATTTCCCGAAGCGCGGCGTCACACGAGCAGCATGCAATGGCCCCACTGAGCGTTAGCAGGTATCACATTCTAGCGCAGCGTATCTGCACGACGATATTGCAGCGCAGAATGCTGGAGCGGGTTGACGACGCTGCACGATCCAGAACACCAGACTAGCGCGCTTTGCTCTGATCTGCGCCAAGACAAAGGCCCCACAGCTAGCTAGTGCTAGCACTAGCGTAGCGTTGGCTGTCTGTTGCTAGCACCACGGTGCCCTGAGCGTCGTATGATCCATGCATCGCTTGACTTCAGCCCAAAGATGGACTATCAAACTATCATTGATGTCATCCCGACGCGCTTGCGAAGAAGTCGAAACGCGGTCGTACCACGACCCAGAGGGCCATGAGGGCCAGAGACTTCATGATGTAGATGATTTGGGCGGTGGCTGGGTGGCTTAACATGAAAGGCGTGGATGCTTCCGCGGGTACGTCAGAGGGAAATCTGTGGTACATAGACATTCGCGGCCGCTGGTCCTCTTGACAATGTATCGTGCTCTTCTTTATCCGGGACGGTTGTTTGGTGCAGCACGCTATATCCCTACACTGACGACAGCGCCCTTACGCCCAAACACTCGAGCATTTGCAGCCAAAATGCCTTCCAAGACCGATGACAAGTACACGGATCCGGAGCTTCGCGCCCAAGTCAAGGAAGAGATTCAGGAGGGGGACAAGGGAGGCGCGCCAGGCCAATGGTCGGCTAGGAAGGTACTTACTTGCCAATGCCCAAGTACAGCGAGCTTGCTGACTCTGTGCAACTGTAGGCGCAAATGATGGCATCCGAATACAAGAAACGAGGGGGCGGCTATACTACCGACCAGAAAGACGACCGGGCCAAACACCTGGATGAATGGACGAAAGAGGAGTGGCAAACAAAGGATGGTGACGGTAGCGCCAAAGACGAGCAGGGCACGGAGCACCGGTACCTGCCCAAAAAGGCATGGGAGGAGCTGGACAAGGAAGAAAAGGAAGCGACGGACGAGAAGAAGCTGGAGGGAAGCAAGCAGGGAAAACAGCACGTGGGGAACACGCCAAAGGCGGCGCAGGCCAGGAAAGATGCTAGCAAGCACGACGGGACGGGCGGATACATCAAAATCGACAAGAAGAGCGTCACGGACTGCACGACTCACTGGGACGATCCGGAGCACATGGAGAGCAACCAGCGGGCCTACAGAAAGTTCCAGGAAGAGGGGCGCAAATCAAAGGGGACGGCGCAGGACCAGGACGGTGAGGGCGGGCAGAAGCGTGGACGGGGGGCGAATGCAAATGCGCTGTGGCCGAATAAGAAACAAAAGGACGGCGGTGGTGGCAGTGGTGAAAAGAAGCAGGAGTCGCCAACAGGGGCGGCCGGAGACAAGACGCGGGTGCCCCAGGCGGGCCAGAAGGTGCAGTGGCATGCGGCGGGGGGCTCCTATGTGCATGGCGAGGTGGTCGAGGTTTTGTACGAGGAAAAGGACGTCGAGGGCGAGCGTGTGCAGGCGAGCAAGGAAGACCCGCGCGTGGTACTCGAGAGCGCGTCGTCGGGCAAGATATGTGTGCACAAGCCCGAGGCGGTATACTTTGGCTAGGTGTAGCACGGGCATGCGAGTGGTTGGTGGATGGCGAGGAGAGGTGCGGTGCGGTGCGGTCTGCAGCGTAGCGTCGCGTAGCATAGCATTGGCATGGCATGGCGTAGCATGGCATAGCATGCAATCTAGCTTTGAGACGTTTCCCCAATAACGCCTGGCTGGTGCGCTGGCGGGTTCTATGGTTCGTCGAGGGCGTGGCGAATGTCGCTAGCGGCGAGCTAGTGGCATGGCCGTGGTGGTGGTGGTGGTGGTGGCGGTGGTCGCGGCGGCGGTGGTGGTCGTGATGGTGGGGAGCAAGATTACGTGCTCGGGAGGAGGGAAGCGAGGGCAGCGGCCGCCGGCTGGGGCTTGGATGGCGCCCATGGCCCACGGCCATGGTGCCGTATGCACACGACAACAGCGGTGCTGGCGGGCGTCGAATGGGAATGGTACGGAGCGGGAACATGACCAGCCCCACTGCCGCTACGGTGCATGTCGTCGTCCCCAAATGGCCGCGGACAAGCACAAGGGCAGCAGCTGCGTGCTAGATGCTGACGTAGTGGGCCTGGGCCGCATGGGCGCACGACGGGGAAGACGCAAGGGTGCATGCGGTGCGGCCATGATTGGATGGATACGAGAGACGGCCATTAGGTGCAGGGGCGTGTATCCAAGGCGACGCTGCAAGGTCCTGGAGCGAGGGGCTCGTTGTTGTTGGCGGGCAATAACGAGGTGCAGCCGTGCAACGTTTGACAGTTTGTCCCGAGGGGCAACGGCCATGGCGGCGCTCGGCTGACGATGGCGTGAAGGTGAGAAGACGCGAACGATGTGCGGGCACGAGGCGGCGGCCTTGTTGTCGTGGTGATGTTGTGTGGTGGGAGGCATCGTGATGATGGTGACGAGGATGCCATGTACGCATGTGGGAGTAGGGTAGTATGTAGCTATCCTGGGAGGGGGCCGCGGATACTGGAGCAAGGGTCTGACTACACCCAGGCCGCATGTATGTAGTAGTATGTACGGTGCCGCATGCTGATGATGATGCTGCTGCTGCTACCACTATTAGCCTCGGGGTGGGCTTGGTCTTGTTGTGTGTGTGTGTGCGTGTGTGTTGCCCAAGCTGCTGACAAGCACGCTGGTGCTGAGAAAAGAGACGAGAGCCATGCAACTTGATCCAGGCGTTGGCGGGCGCAGCGCAGCGCAGCGCAACGAGGCGGTCAGAGGGTCCGTCGCAGTCTTGTTGGTAATGGTGGTGGTGGCATGCATCGAGTTCCTGCAGGGCGGGGCCATACATAGCATAGAGCAGATGGCGGCCCACGGCATTCCCCTCACGCTCGTGGTGGTGGTGGTGGTGGTGGTGGTGACGGTGGTGGTAATGGCCATGCGCGTCGTCTTTGTCGCCGTCGTCGTGGCGCCCATGCTCGCGTCCGCCGCCGCTGATCCAGGAGCTGGGGTGAAACCGAGGGTTGAGGTTTGTTCGCGATTGGGCAGGGCAGGGCAGGGCAGGGCAATGGAGATGGGCTGGGAGCGGGCGGGCGGGCGAGGGCGGGGGGGTTTTGGAGGAGCAAATGGGCGTGGGCGTGAGGGTGAGGGCGGGCGTGGGCGTGGATGTGGTGGGCGTGGGAGGCCGAGCAGAGGGCGGGTGGATATTATTTTTTGGGGCGTGACGGGGTGGTTGAAGGGTGGAGAGGGGCACACACGGCGGACGTATCAACCGGCAGCACGAGCGTATAGGGACGACAGGGAGAGGGTTGCCCGACGCCCACGGCAACAGGAGGAGGAGGAGCAGCAGAGAAGGGGAAGGGTGGCCAGGCTATGCAGAAGAAAGTGCAGGCAGGCCTGGCGACGAGGGCGCGCCGGTCGGCAGCGCTATCCAGCTGGCAGCAGAGCGTCCCCACGCCGCACGCGTCGAGGTGAAAGTAAGTCACACGGAAAACAGCCGTGCAGCGAGCCTGCCTGCCTGCTGGCTGCTGGCTGCTGGCTGCTGGCTGACCCTCTCCCGACGGCGGCGCGCCCTCTGCTCCGAGCGCGCTGATGGCCCCCCCCCCTGCCCACACCCGCCGGCCTGCCTGCAAAAAAAATAAAATAAAATAGACGCCCTTCTGGCTCCGCAATGCAGCGTGTCTAGACAGGTCCCACCCCGGCTACGTCGCGAGGCCCCATCCGCGTTACAGTGTGCACCGCGCTGCTCGACAAGCCCGACGCCCTGCTCGTCCACCACGACCACGACCACGCCGACGCCCTCAGACCGTCTCGTCGCCTCCCACCATGGTCTTGGGACTCGTCTGCTTATAGCAATCCACCACCCAGCCCTCGGGCACGCGCCCAAGCCTCGATCCACCCCCCCGGCCACGGGCACCGAGCACGCAGAGCTGCACCCCGTAGTGTGCACCCGCAACCACTCGCACAGCTGCAATGGCTGACGAGAAGAAACCCACGACCCTGGCGCCGCCCGCCGTCACTGCACTCAAGCAGGAGGCGGCCGGCTCGCCTGGACACCGACACAACATGGAGCGGACGGTCAGCCAGGACATGCGCAACGAGCGGGCAGACCTCAAAGAGGCTGCCGAGCACAGCCTGAACATCATCGTGGACCTGGATCTCGAGGGCAAGATTCGTTATGTCAGCCCCTCGTGGACCGATGTCATTGGCACCCTGCCCAGCCAGGTCACGGGCAAGCCGGTGCTCGACCTGATCAGCAGCGGCGCCGATGGCTTTGCAGAGGCCATCGAGTCGGTTAGGAAGGACGACTCGAGAAGCCACATTGCCCGCTTTACCATCCAGCTTGGACCCCACTCCATTCTGCGCAAGCGCCGATCCAAGCACGCTGCCCCCGAAGGCCCCGAGCCCGGGCCACGCTCACCAACCCAGGCTCCCGAAGAGGAAGAGCAGTTTCTCAATGTAGAGGCCCAGGGCATCATGGTCTATGACCGCGCAACGGGTGCCGAAAGCCACGTACGTACTGACATGGGCCAGCCCAGATTCGCTTGCAACTAACAATCGCAGACCATGTGGATGGTGCGGCCCTCGGTCATCCGTGAGGTCACCATCGATCTTCCAGAGGTCCTCGTCGAGGCGCTGGGCGTGGGAGCAGAAGTGCTTGCCCACTACCTGACTGGCCTGGCCGAGCACAGTGCAACCGACCCTGCAAACTACGCCCCACCACTGCCAGTCTTGTGCCGCATCTGCGAGCGGCAAATCACGCCCTGGTGGTTTGAGAAGCACTCTGAGCTGTGTCTGCAAGAGCATCGCGCTGAAATGGACGTGCAAATGGCCCAGGAGACACTGGCTGAACACCGCAATGCCATTGTCAAGGTTCTGGATACGCTCGAGTCTCACAGTCAGCGTTCAAGAACGACATCAACCGATTCTGTGCAGCCGCTGCAGCCTGCAGAGTACAAAGGCCTCATAATCCACTCGACATCCACACCCTCCTCAGGCACCCCTTCGAGTACTCCATCTGGACGCAACTCTCCTGCATCGCCACCCTCGAGATCCCGCGAACGTTCGGAGCGCCCATCGGGGTTTGGCCACCACCGTGCACGATCATTTGCGGTTCGGAGACCTCTGGCTCGCATCGTTGAGCTAGTCCTCGACTTGTGCGACACCGCTCTTGAAATCAACACACCCGCCATCAAAGACAACACCCGTGGCCAATCAGTCGCCGAAATCCGCACCCAATCACCGCAATCAGAGAACCGCATATCACAAGTGCTGCAGTGGCAGTCGCCTACGACAGGCTCAGTCGACCATACCGAAGGCCTCAAGCTGTTATGTGAAGACACCAGCAGACTCGCGAGGGCCAAGATTGACGCTGTCACACGCCACCGGCGGGTTCTCGAGTACTCTGAACGTCTTCGCATCGAGTTTGACATCCTGGTCCAGGAATGTATCGAGGCCGCAATCTTGAAGGCTGCTCGCATTGCTGCAGGCGAAGACAGCTCGTCTGAAGATGAGCGACAGGAAGAAGAGGTTCAGTCCGATGCCAACGATACGGACACAGCTACGGATATAGCCCCTGGCGAGGAAAGCATCTTCCCCGGCTCCTTTGATACCCCGTCGACAATGGTGCAGGCGCTGCGCAGTACGTCAGATGTGTCTCTGCCAGCACGAGTTGGACGCCGCGAGTCTTCTGTAGCTGGCTCCAACAGGTCCAGTAGCCCCAGAGGAGGATGCCAGACGCCGCGATCACACGCTGGTGCTATCAACATAGCAACCCACAACAAGCGCCAGTCGATGCACTTTGAGAGCGACACTGGTGCTGAGAGTGACACTAGCATGCGTTCTTCAGTGCTGTCTGGCCCCCGTCGAGCCGACTCGCCTGCAACATCCGACGTAGGCTTGGGCAGAGTAACCAGCTCACGAGAGCGCAAACGCAAAAGCCTAATACTCCCCAGTGTCATGTCGAGCAGACAGCAGTCACCTGCTCGCTCCATGGTACCCCCGCCCTCTTCGCCTCTCCGGACAACCAAACCGCGCCTTCCCAGCGGTGTTGATAACATTCAGTCGCCCATTACCTCACCCGTCTTGCACACTACAGAATTCTCGTCACCAGCCATAGTGCATGCAATAAGCCACCATCGCAGACAGTCATCCACAGCTGGTTCCGATGGTCCGAGGCCAATTTCCCCCCGCCTTATCGCTACGACCCAGCCGCAACCCCGCGCCGTTCCTCCGTCGATCAAGGATTTTGAGATCATCAAGCCAATCAGCAAGGGTGCTTTCGGCAGCGTCTACTTGGCCAAGAAAAAGTCTACTGGCGAGTATTATGCTATCAAAGTCTTGAAGAAAGCAGACATGGTTGCGAAGAATCAAGTCACTAACGTCAAAGCTGAGCGTGCCATCATGATGTGGCAAGGCGAGAGCGATTTCGTCGCCAAGCTGTACTGGACCTTTTCGAGCAAGGACTATCTTTACCTGGTCATGGAATATCTGAATGGCGGCGATTGTGCTTCGTTGATCAAGGTTCTTGGGGCTTTGCCAGAAGATTGGGCAAAGAAGTATCTGGCCGAGGTTGTTTTGGGTGTGGAGCATCTGCACAGTCGGAGCATCGTTCACCGTGACCTGAAGCCTGACAATCTTCTCATTGACGGTAAAGGCCATTTAAAACTGACCGACTTTGGTTTGTCACGTATGGGTATGATTGGCCGGCAAAAGCGTGCTCTCAAATCAGTGGAACCTGCGCCAGACCTGCTCAAGACGGGCCCCTTCCACCGTGCAATATCTGTTGGCTCTTCACGATCTGCTTCCTTTGATCTGAACCATTCGCCTTCGCAGACACCATCCATGACACCTGCTCTTGCTGGCGATATTGGTCAGCCATCATACTTCAGCCTGAATCGAGAGAATTCGCAGCAGAGTCGTGAGCGCTCGCGACGGCCCTCGGGGACACGCAGCGATAGTCAGGACAGTGACGCGCTGCAGGCCATGTTCCGCCGTTTCTCAATAGCTGATGACTCGTTTAGTCATCCTCGAGGACGATCACCCATAGAAGAGGAGGCGCTCAGTGACGATGGCTCTCCCGATCCATACTCGGTACCCCATTCGATGAGCCACTCGGCTATAGCTCAGAACAGTGTTCTTCCTCCAGCAACCACAATGCCACCCCCGCCCATGGCTTTGTTTGACCCCGAAGACAGCGACAGGCGCTTCGTTGGCACTCCCGATTATTTGGCCCCGGAGACGATTGCGGGTAATGGCCAAGATGAAGTCAGTGATTGGTGGTCTCTCGGGTGTATTCTGTTTGAGTCTCTGTATGGATATCCTCCTTTTCATGCAGATACACCAGACGAAGTGTTTCAAAATATCCTTGCGCGAAGAATCGACTGGCCAGACGATGACGATGAGACCTATGACATTTCGGATGAGGCAAAAGATCTAATGAACCGCCTTATGTGCTCAGATCCTGCACAACGACTAGGTGCAAACAAGGACGAAAAGTTTGCCAGCGGTGGTGAAGAGATCAGAAACCATCCATGGTTTGCTGATATCAACTGGGAGACATTGCGAGATGACGAAGCCTCTTTTATTCCTGCACCTGAAAACCCAGAAGACACAGAGTACTTTGACTCGAGAGGAGCGGCCATGGCCAACTTTAATCCGGAATTTGAAGACCAAGCGACTACACCAGCGGGCACGCCCAGTACCGACTACCCCGACCGGCCCCATGATGCTCTATCTAGAGTGCGGTCACAGGTGACGGTATCGACCATGAAGCGTGGGCTTATTCCTCTCCACATACCAGCGCACGTGCGTGAGGGCAGGTCACGGCGACTGAGTGAGCCTATGGCAACTGACGACTTTGGCAATTTTAGCTACAAGAATCTACCGGTTTTGGAGAAGGCCAACAAGGACGTCATTCAGAAGCTACGTGCAGAGGCAATGCTTCCGCAGAACAAGCCAACTCCTCCCATTCAGTCACCCAGCGTGACGTCGCCTTCCCCGTCCTTGGAAAACAGCCCGATGCTACCTGGTTCTCTGAAGCGTACCTTGTCTACAAACCGAGCTCCTGGACGACCCTCGTCTCCCTCTGTAAGCGGACCACATTCTTCTCCCAGTCGTGGCTCACAGCCCTCCTCTCCACTACTTGTACAGTTCAGCACCGGACAACACCATGACCGACGAAAGACGTCTAGTAGCTCATCTACACTGTCGCACTCGACGAGCAACACGTCGTCGCTGCAGCCCGGCAGCTCACACGATGCTTCGCGCATGTCAGGTTTGCGACCTTCTCCAGATGCCAACTCACCCAACAAGCTTTCCAAGAGTCCCTCTGCGCCAGCTGGAACCCCCCAGGACAAAGCCACATCCGGACAACGTCAGACATCTTCAGGACCCGTCACCGATTCACCACGCGCCCGCTCGCAAACAATTGGGTCTCAGGAAGAGGACATTGTGCGTGACCTATTGCCAGGACACTACAAGCGACGCAGTCAAGTCCTCGACGTATCGCCTTCGTCATCGGACACTGAGGATTCACGCGCCAAAGCGCTCCTTCGTGTACAACGACGCAGACAAAGTTCTCGCCGAATGTCTCAGATTAGCTTTGGCGACGGTCCCTTCTTCCGACCACTGGATGTTCTGATTTGCGAGGATCACCCTGTGTCACGACTCGTTATGGAAAAGCTGCTGGAGAAGTTGCGCTGCCGCACCCTGACCGTTACCAACGGATCTGAGGCGATTCGCTATGCCATGGGAGAAGTCAAGTTCGATGTCATCATGATGGAGTTCAGGCTGCCCCAGGTCAATGGCGCAGATGTTGCTCGCATGATTCGCGATACGAAAAATGCGAATACCCATACCCCTATCGTCGCCGTCACGGGCTATCTCAAGGAGCTCCAGGCGCCTCATTACTTCGATGCCCTAATCGAGAAGCCGCCCACTGTTGCTAAGCTCACCGACACCCTGAGCAGATTGTGCCAATGGAAAGCGCCCCCACCGGGGTGGACGCCGAGCCAGTCGTATCCATCCATCATGCCTTCGGGCTTACGACAAGAGTCTTCGCGCCCAGAAGACAGCCCCTCATCGAATGCATCCAGCTATCCGGCTGTACCCTCTGCTAGCTACCGAGGCTCTAGCCGCGAAGACTCTATTAGCTCTAGCTTCTTCGGAGACAACGACAGTCGCGCAAGCGAGGACATAGCTGTTCGAATCCACAACGCAGACGATTGGCGGGAGCGGGACATGGCCCGGGCGATGGGCGCGCTGGGCATTGGAGACGATGCAGCCCATGCAGATCCCAAGACTGTTCCCTCCAATCGTGGCGGTCCGCCTGACCTACCCCACGGGGATTCTGCGCCGGCGTCACTCGAGGAGGCAACGATCCGCCGCCAGAGATCGACCGAGCAAGTTGGTGCGAAGCGCCGCATACTAGAGACGCGGAAGCATGAATCAGCAGAGTCTGGTGACGATGAGGACGATGAGTTGGGCCATGCTCCTATCCGCACTAAGAGCCCAAGATCGCGACCCAAGTCCACCTCTAAGCTCGGGATTGAAATGATGCGCACAAACAGCAGAGGCAGTGTCATTTCTGTCGAAGACATGGGCCAGCCAGACACGACGCTGCCTTCATCCCCGCCTCCCATGATTACGGAAGATCGAGCAGCAGAGGAATACGAAGGCTCTCTTGCCACACCTGAGGTCGCGCCCGTGTCGCTCACACCGCCTGTTATATTTCCGGAACGGCCTGGGGATGACGTAGAGGAGTTTGTCATGGAAACACCAAAAGCGCAAAAGGAAGCGACTAGTCCAGATGCAGATCCGGATCCAACGCCCAAGGCAAAGACTGCCAGTACATCAGACCCGGATCCTACGCCTAGGCCGAGCAGTGCGACGGACGCCTAGGCCGTGTCTCGCCTATCGTTTGGCACTTCTTCAGTAAATTGTTCATTTGAGTTTACAGCGTAACTCTATGTTTGACAGCATGGTGTTGGTGGTGTTTCTAATGGGTAGTGTACCGGGAAACATCCTTTCGCGATTACTTCAATGACTTGTCTTTTTTTTTCAACCCTCTTTTTGGGGATGCTTTTACTTACCACGACCAATCGTCGGCGTACGTTGCGTCGTCAGCTGGTAGAGCAAGCACCCTTTAACATACCAGCTATGGTTATATAGTTGAATATCTCCTTTCCCCTTTTTCTCACACACGCCATCTCACAATCAACTCATTAGGTGAAATGCTGTTTTTTTTGGGTCCTCTCGAGGTGCCAGGTGTGCGTCGGTGGTCTATCATTCACTCGTTTTTTATTTCTTGGTTCGGTGTTTTGTGCTTCATGTTTACGTTGTATACCCAGTCCCTCCCCTCCACAACGAAGTGCTCGTTGGGTATTCACACGGCTGTCACTCGTTTCTCTCTCTCTCTCTTTTTTTCCCATAGCTCTTCACCACATCTTTATACCGCACCTGTCCCCGAGGAGAAAAAAAGTGCGTGTATCATCATCGTCGTCTTCATAGCTTCTTTCTGTACGCAACTTGTTTTTTTCTGCTCCAGCTCCGCCGCTCTCTTATTTTTTATTAAATCATTGATTTCTCTCCACAGACACATACATATACACACACATATTCACTCGCTCACGTGTAGTCGGGGAAAGCGATGCGTTGGTGGCTGTTGAGCTCTTGCAATTGAAGAAGAAAAAAACTATATTCCTCTCTCTCACTTTCTTTCTCTCTGTCTTCTTCTGTGTGCCTCTTTTTGCTCTTGCTCTTTTGTTCTCTTTTGCTCTCTCTCTCTCTCTCTCTCTCTCTCTGTATCTCGCGTGCGTGCGTGCGTGCGTGCACTGCTCTCATCGCCCATCCAAAAAAAACAGACTGAAGCAAAACTGTTTGTCGTCGTAATGCCCGTAATGCCCGTATTCCTTCTTTCTTGCTGTTTTTTTTCTCTCTCTCTTTCTCCAGATCCCTAGCTTTACTACTCAACATTCAGTTCGGGTACGAGAAGCCTTTTTTTTTAATTTTTTTTTTCGAGTGCTGATTTATTTATCTATTTATCTATCTATTGAGTAGGTCTTAAATCCTTAGTTGTAGTGGTGATGGTGGTAATGGTGAGGTTAACGCCTCTTTATTGATTTATTTTTCTTTCTCAAAATGCTGCATTATTATCATAGTAGTTATATTTATGTGGATATATGTGAATATATATATATATAGGCGGAAAAGTCGGAGGGGAGAATGACATAGGTTTTATTAATATCTATATAAGTTTTGGATAAATGGTGATAGGTTTGCCAAGCTTATATTGGAAATGATGATTCAAGTCTGTCTATATATACAATAGCATTGGCACTACATAGGTACTTTGATAATGTATGTAGCTATGACCGTATCATCACACACCACGACTCTTGTCTCCTCACTCGTTATACTCACGCTTGGGTCTGATTCGAAGCTTCTGAATGATTAGGCTGGGCTATGGAGACATACCCGGTTTGCATGTGTACTTTATGTCTGTTGTGATCCAGCTTACCCGCTATCCAAGCAGGAAACAACAAATTCCTGGGTCCGGGCCCTCCCCCCCCCCTCTCTCACTCTCTCTCTCTCTCTCTCACACACACACACACACTTTCAAAGCAAGGTTACTCCAAAAAACCTACATTATACTGCGTCATTTGTCTCGCGCCGCGTACTAGTATTTTACATCAACGCTAACTACTACGTACAAGTGTTATGTACATACATAGGCATCTTCATACAACATACACATATGTATATCACCAGCCCAACATCGCACCACACCACACCACACCACATGACTATACATACATCTTGCCAAACCAAATGCTTGAGAAATCCAGTGAGTAAAAAAAAAATTCAATCTGAGAAATACCGGTTTCGGCGAGAAGAGTAACAATATATACATGTTTCACACGAGACGAAGTTGTTGATATTGGAGTTCCGCAGCGTGAGACTGCGCTGCTTTGATGCGAGTGCGAGTGCGTGTGTGCGTGTGTGTGTGTGTATGCATGAAACTAAACAAAACTCTACGCGGCGATTTGGGGTACTTAGTAATAATGCGGGGGATTCTTGGATGTCGGGGAAAGTAATGGAAATGGAAGAAGCGGTACCTCGCATGCCGCTGTTGCTTCTCTGTACCTCAAGAGGTAGCGGGATGTGATTGGTTCAATGGGTAGCCTGGCGTGTACATCGCATCTCTCCGTGTTGGGTTTGCGCCTTGAAGGTGTCAGATAACTTAGGCATACTTAGTGTAAATGTAAGTGGCACTTTTATGCGGTGAGGGGATGAGGCGAGTGTGAGAAATGGCGCTTTGAACGTGCTGTTGCCTAGGCAGATACATGGTTCTGGCTGCGGTTGATGTCTGCTGCCGTGTTTGAAGCTTGTATGGCGCCGTAGCTCCGATTGTATGTCGGCTATGGTGTCAAGTGTTATTCCTTTCCCGTGGAGGATACTCGTGTTCCTCTCAAAGTGCACTCAAGCACCTTACTCCTAGCTGCGGCTAAGCAAACCACTTTTCATACGACGAACACGCACACACCCCCGGCCACAGGACAAGGTTTTACAAGGAAGAAAGCCCTCTCAAAGCACTTAATGAGATGTTGTTTGCATTGATGAACCTATTTAGTATCTAAACCATAATCTCTGCAATTTTTAAGTCTTTTTGTTCACTTCTTAGAACGATGACTACATTGCGCAAAGGTGCTCCCAAATACCAGTCTGTGTGTGTGTACGTAAATGCCACTGATATACCGCCACTCCGCAGCCTGATTCTCGGCTTGCTGTGAAAAAAAAGAAAGGAAAGATGGCAGTTTTTTTCTCCATTCTCGCTGAGAACCGTCACGTCAAAAAATACAAGTGACAATGCTATTACAAAGGAAAGAAAAAAGGCATGGAGGAGTGTAATACTAGTCGTAGTACTAGTGCGGTTGGTGATGATGAAAAATGATAAAAGTACAAGACTACCAAACGCCCGCTAAAGGAAGCAGATGATGGAGACAAAGAAAACCTTGTAGTCCTGACTTGACCCGAAGGTGATGAGATATCAGGTACCCACCTACTGTGAGAGCCTGTTTCCAATGAGTGTATGGAAGTCACTGCCCGCTGGGCGTGGATCCTTGCCGGCACCAAGGTAGAATTCGCAGCGAAACTTCAGGCATTCGGTTCCGCGCGAATCGTGGTATACCTGCACAATGTCGCCAGTGTGTAGGTGACCAAACAAGGCATGACCCTTTTCGTCTTTCTTCCGGAGATGCTTGCCGTTGATGGATATGCCGTGGGTGGCGCATGTCCAGATACCAATGTTCAGGTTCTGCAAGCTAGTCCAGTCTTTGCCTCGCTGCGACAAATCGTCAACAGTCTCCTGCGTCTGACCACTGGATGAGTAGAAGAAGATTATGAACGCTGTCTTTGGAATACGCGTATCGCGGCTATGCTCATACACAATGGTGTTGTTTCCAAGGCGACCCCATGAAGTTTTGCTCTGGGTAATGTTGAGAGTGAGATTGGGTACAAACGAATCTGGTGTCGCAACAAGCTTGCCCAGTCGCCGTGGAGGTGGACGAATATCGAGCTCAGCAGGTACGGACGGTATGTCGGCAGCAGGAGAAGACGCTGCTGCATCACTTGATGCTACCGATGTTCCACTCGTCTCTGAGGCTCCTGTTGTATCCGGATATGCAGACGCCGCACTCGTAGCATCGCGGCTCATCGACATAAAGTCACGCCCACTTATTCTCGAAGCATACTCCAAATTGTGTGTGTTGGGGTCTCTCGGGTCGTAATAGTAGGATGCCGTAACCGGAAGCTCAATCAGCCGGTTCATTGCAGATGGTCGTGCTCTCGGGGTCGGCTCGCTCACTTGACTAAACTCTTTTGACTGTTCCAAAGAATTGTGTTGAACGACTTCTGGTGTCTTGGGCGTTGCTGGCATGGCAGGACTCTGCGTTCGGGAGACAGGAGAGTGCGGCGAAGTCATGTTGAGATCTCTCACCAGAGACTCGGTGCCCAAGAGGCTGGGTGACGACACGCCTCGCTTCAGTTGTGCGGGCGCGGTAAAGAGCCCTCGCTGCTGCTCCACGCTGTCTTCGGCGTCCATCGAGTCTGCAGCGCCGTCATTCTGAGCACGTTGAATGGACTCTTCGCGTAACAAAGCGTCATTGGCGTGCGTGCTTAGTACGCCCGAGCTTTCCAGTGCGGAACGTCCAATCTCACCGAAGAGACGAGGCTGTCTAGGCGTCGGCATGACCTGGAAACTCTCTTCTTGAACGAGGTGTGAAGACGCGAAAGAAGGCTCGATACTGGAATCATCGCGATCTCGCGCTTGGTTTCGTGGATACAGTGGGTCGGCGCGGACTCGTTTTGGCTTTCGCTCTGTGACGAAACCCATAAGCTCTTCATCGTAAAGGATATCAGATTCTTCTTCTGATTCCGGAATCTCCTCTTGAAGGCTGAGTTGCGACAATTGCTGCTCGGCTTCTTCCTCCTCCTCTTCCTCGTCCTCTTCGGCGATAGACTGCAAAACAGGATCGGCAGGGATGGTTGCTCCCTCTTTGAGCCATGGATGGTTCAGACAATCGCGATCTGTGGGGCGTTCTGCAGGGTCCGTCCGTAGCATCTGCATCAGAAGGTCGATGCAGACGGCAGAGACACCCGCCGTGCGGAGAGGCGTTGGGTCGAGTGATGTTTCCATGATGTTGTTGTACATGGCTTCACCCGTAGCATCGGCAATGCCCTTGAACGGGGGCTCACCACAGAGTGCATACCAGAGAACACCTCCAAAAGACCATATGTCAACCGAGGAACTGTACGAGTGGTACACCTTGGCGCCACGCCGACGCTTGGTACCCTTTGATTGCCCGTTGAAGTCAGGGAAGACTTCTGGAGCGCAGTATAGCAATGTACCGCAAAAGGTTTTGAGAAATGTTTCCTCATGCTTGACAACTTTTGAAAGGCCAAAATCCGATAGCTTGACGGTGAAAGGGTCGATATCAGCGATGAGAATGTTGTCCGGCTTGATATCACGATGAGTGATTTTTGCTCCATGTAGGTAGCTGAGAGCGCTGAGGATCTGCTGAGCCATGGACCTTGCGACATCCTCCTTCATGGAGCCGTACTGGTTGAGGTAACCTTGAAGATCACCCTGTCTGACGAACTCCATGATGATGTACAGATAATCACCTTGATCGTAGTACTCAACGAACTCGACGATATTGGGGTGCCGCAGATCCTGCATGATCTTCATTTCATTGTCAATCTTCTTATCAAGCATACCGTTCTTCATGAAGCGGCGTTTCTGGAGTTCTTTCGCGGCCAGCAGCTTTCCGGTCATTTTAGTTGCGAGCTGATAGACGGTAGCAAAAGCTCCTTTGCCAATTTGCCCTGTCAAGGGTTAACAGACATCAAATTGAGAAACTGATAGCACTTACCAATGATGTTGTAGTGTGCTCCACCGTCCCACTTCATCGAAGGCCCACCATACTGTTTGGTGACTCGTTGTAGAGCCTTACTCTGTTCCTCCCCAAAGTTGGGTGTACACTGTGTGATGAAGTTGCTGAGGTTTTCTCGGAACCGATCCATGTGTGACACTCTTGAAGGTACGCGGACGATGAACTTGATCATCTCTGCGTCGTTTGAATTTTGTATGCAGATGATGGAGCCGGAGCTGAGCATACGAATCTTGCTGAAGCGAGGGTCTTTACACTTGAGAAGTGAATCGTCAACAATAGTGCCGTTGGTGGACATGTCTTCGAGCATGAGTAGGCCATCGATGTTGAGGTAGATTCGGAAGTGCTGATTGCTTATCCTTTTACCAGAGTCTTGACCAAAGATGATGTCGGCACTCTGATGGTTGCGGCCGAATATGAATCCGAGCTCTTTGAATTTCAGCTTCTTTGCGGATGATAGGCGAAGGGCTAGGTCTGCACCAACGCGAGAGCTGCGTTCAGGTTGATCTTGGTGGGCGTTGATTATGAAGGTTTCTTGCTCCTCGATGTCATTGATGGATCCGGTCATTGAGTCGAGTGAGTTTCGGAACAAGACATGTTCGGGCCGGTGCTGTGCTGCATGCTCTACAATCTTGATTGCTGTCGGGGTAGCAGGGTGAAGGATAACGAGAACATCGGCGATGTCACAGTCGCTCAAACCTGAATTGTTTCTGCCTAGACGACGAGGATCGAGGACCTGCTGCGTGGCAGGCTGTGTCTGCTGCGAAGGCTCCGCATCCATAGCGGCTGCAGTGTGATGTGTGTTTGTGGTGTGTATAGATATGAAGTCTCGGTTGGGTTCACTTGGAACGAGACGGAAGGGATGTTGGACGAGTGCAGGGTGAGTTTAGAGTGCTATGAGCACCGGTGGGTTGAGTTGGAGGACAGGGGTGGCACTTTATGTATTTGGGGAAAGTGAGAGCGCGCTGCGGGGTATGGCGCTATCCGTGCGATGGGCTCACTTGAACAGCGTAGGCAGGCTATTGGGCCGTGCGCGTGGAGGGTGAATGTATCAGGCGGAAAGCCTCCTGGAGCAACGACGCCGAATAGTCTGGACTCGGCCCTTGAAAAAGCGCAGTGCTTCCCTTACGTGCTCCAATTGAATGGGACGTAGCAGTGGCTTCTCAGAGCCAGGCTGTAACGACTCCACTCCTTGACGTTTCTTTTGCGGCAGGATCTTCGACCACAGTCCTTCTCCAGTCGGCCGGGTCACGAGCGCACTCAATCCAGCGCTATGCTCCGATCGGACTTGCTTGTATGGCCGCTTGTACCTTCACTTCAAGGCGTCATTCGCGCCGCTCCCTCGATGCGATGCGTGGAATCGCAACCAAGCAGGCCCCAGCGGTTGGGTGTATCGGCAGGCCGCAGACAACAAACAAGGCGAGAATGCTACAGTGTGTATATGAATGAGCGCGACGCCAGCGGATGCGAGATGTATGCGTCAATACGGCGAGGCGGATATTTGCCTTGCGGGAAATGGCGAGGGCGCGGAGAAGGTGGGATGGGCCGATGTGGAGGGTTGCCCTAGGAACAGCCTCTGCAGCAGAGGGTCAGCGTGAATGCGCACCAACACACATGCATCGCGCGCATTCAATTGATACGGTTACACACCTTCGTAGCAGAAGCAAAGCGAAGACCAGACACGGCGAGGGTGAAGGAGGGCAGCTTTGCACATGCCGGGCGGGCTGTGAGACTTTGGAAACGGCCCGCGCGCGCGTCGCCATTGGCTGACTGGCATGAAAAGTGGGACTGCCCCTTGCGCAAGGCAGCCATCGCCCCTCTGTTTGGCTTGATTCATCAAAGTCACGTTTTTACGCGTCAGCGCGTAAGGGGCAAGTCACGCGCCGTGCTTGACGTCATCTCATCCCTTGACATTGTGCGCCTGTCAGCGCTGAAAATTATACTTTGTGGTGGATTCGGGCTACAGGCGAGATGCTGGGATGTTGCTGTGGTGAATACAGCTGATAATGCAACGGAAAAGAGACCGTTGCGTATTGACGCGCTAGTTTACGATACTATATTTTTCACTTTCGCAATAACACATATCAGAATGTCCAGCGTCTTCGAGTATACTTTGTCAAGGGCAGTCCCGTCTAGGTATGGTGGAGCTCCTTTGTGGTTAATCTGATCACGTGAGTCCTTGTCCGTTCCTCCGTCCTGCACAGACCCATAATCCAGGCAGAATCACATTTGTGGCTTTACAGTTATGCATATGCCAATGCAGTCGGGAATCATTAGGACTCAGATGATTTTGAATTTGTTATTTACGAACCCTCTTTGATCTCCGTGCCACTTATGGACAAGTTCCCTCCAGTACCTAGGCGTTTGATTCGATTTCTCTCATTATTCTCGCACACCGAGACTGTAATCCAGAACTGCAGTATGGGATGATGATTTGAAAAGAGACCAAATTTTGGAAGATTCATACTGGAGCCAGAGGAGCGCAGATGTAGCTTACATGAGCCCTCTTTGGTGTCATATCCCACTTTTGCTCCAGCTCCTCATGTATGCAGGCTTATATCTTGCAAACAATTTGCATTACATAGATTTTAAAGAAATCTACACACTTTGCACTCTTCACTTGTAAGCGATTCCTTGTTCTTTCGCGCATCAATTTGTGTATAAATTCAGTCAAGTCTAGTATCAATGCTATCTCGGCCAGTGCTATAGCAACACTATCGAGGCTCACGCAACGCCTAAAATGTATTCAATCTTTCACAGGACTGGAAAGAGACTAGAGCAACTAGTTAGGTTGCAACTTTAGACTTGTAGATCCAGGGCCGTCACTACTCTACTACCCCGCCTCGTACGACAGACACCTCAAAGTAAGCCATGGAAAGCCACTCTGGCTTTACTTGACAAGCTCGAGAATTTCTTACACATGAAAATATTTTTACACTTCTGAACAGCATTCAGAGATTATGCTATGGTTTCAACCCACACAGCAATCAATGCGAAATGCTCGGCAAAAAAATCTAATCACTCAAATACCACGAGCGAAGCTGCTTCAACGTGTTTTAGAACTTGGCTCTTAATTCCCACGGTTTTGTTGCAGCGATGCGTGAGTGGGGAAGATTCAAAGGTAAGGCAACATCTGGAGAGCGCCCCTCTCATGGGTCTTACCCAATGCGGCATAGATCCACGGAAGTGACATCTGTCTCCAACCAGACTACAAGAAGCCCGCAACCAGCTCCACGTAGCGCGCATCCAATTCACTTGATCCGACAACTGCGAATATGAGAGGCATCTGGGCCCTCCCAGCCGTGCTGCGCATTGCGCTCGCGAGCCAACATTCGTTTAGTGTCTTTGATGACTTGTTCGCTTTCCCACAGGCATGGCGCACTGCAATAGCTCTTGTGCGAAGACGTGCTAACACGTTTCTTAGTATGAAGTGCTGTGGCCAGATACTTTCGTCACAGAACACGAGGCGACGTCTCTCCTCACACATGGATCACCCACGTCGAGCTCGGTGGCACCGGGAACGCAGGAAACGCAAGAACTCACGAAGCGCGATCAGGCGACTGCAGAAACGACGCCCGCAGACGAGGAGCTACAACAGACATACGAAGCGGTCGTGCTGCACGGGCAGCGATACCTATGTAGCATCCCTATAATACCCGAAAAAGTCCCACAGAACGACACAACATCCGCCGAAGAAGCCAAGGCAGAGCAGGAAAAGGAGCTTATGCGCGCAACAGACCGCGGGTGGGAGTTGCTCGAAGGCATGCGCGGCAACTGCATATACTACCTGAGCGGATGGTGGAGTTACAGCTTCTGCTACAAGGACCAGGTCAAGCAATTCCACCAGTTGTCACCGGGCCGTGGAGTTCCGATATACCCACCAGTGGAAGACGAAAGCGTACACAGCTTTGTGTTGGGAAGATTCCCCAAAGAAAAGAGCAAGAAGGCGAGCACTCGTAAGACGCTTGGAAACGAGCAAGGCAGCAAGGAAGCTTTCGACGATGAGGACGACGTACAAGATGACGAACCAAAGGGCCTGGAGCTTCCAAGACTGGAGTCGAAAGGGTCGAGTAGATACATGGTCCAGCGATTGTCCGATGGCACCGAATGTGATCTGACGGGCAAGCCACGTAAGATTGACATCCAAGTATGTATCACGAAGCGAGTGCTTATGCTTCTGAATGCTAACACGACCTAGTTTCACTGCAACCCGCAGTCCGCTGATCGCATATCCATGGTCAAGGAGACGAGTACATGCTCTTATCTCATGATTGTTGACACACCCCGACTATGCCACGACGTCGCATTTACGCCCCCGCAAGAGAACCTAGCTCATCCTATGATCTGCAAGCCCGTCATAGCAGAGTCAGAAGTGAAAAGCTGGACTGCCGCTCAGGAAGTCGCCAAGTTAGCCACAGCTGAGCAACTTTTAGCCGCCCAGAATGTCGCTGATGATGCCAATACGAACCCCATCCGCGACGTTACCGACGGACTCGAGGGCTCAACTAGACGCGGGGCCATCATTGGTGGTATCGAAGTCGGAGCGAAGGAGCTTGTTGGTGGTGAGGGCAGGGTCATCGAAAAGTCAGTCGTTGTCGGTGGCGGCAAGGAAACCTTCATCGCCGTTGTCGCAAGCAGCGAAGGCAAGCAAATGACCAAAGAAGAAATGAAGAAATATGATATTTCCAACTCGAAGGATGTAGAGACATTCAAAAACAACCTGAAGAAGCTGGCGGGCAAGAAGGGTTGGAAGCTGGTGCTTGTAGATACACATGCAGGCAGGGAACTGAGGGGTATGATTGACACGGATGAAGAGGACGCTCAGAAGAAGAAAAAGAAAAAGAAAGAGGCCAAGGGTGAGGACAGCGCTGGGGCAGGTAAAGAGAAGAAAGTAAAGAAAGAACCTAAGGAGGAGGAGGATGAGGTTTATGAGGGAAGTGAAGAGGTATACAAGGACGAGCTGTAGTACTACTTCCAATTCAATTTCAATGGTTTTATGATTATTACTCCGATTCCTGGATTGCTACGCTGTAAATGCAATACCAGCCGATTCCATCTCGAGTCCTCTATGGCGTGCTCAATATCAGCACTTCATTCAATCCATCATTACCATTCAAGCACCACACTCAATCCTCTATTACCAACCAATCGTCTCACACCCTGTCGTACGGCCTGCAAACCCCATTCCCACACCCATTGAACACAAAATTGATCGTAACCTCCCCCATACTACCATCGTTCCCTGTATGAACCGGACAGCTCCCGCAGCCTAAACGCCCAGCCATATCAGCTCCCACGACACACCCACCAGCATGCAAGAAACGAAGAGAAGAAACAAGGGAAAAAAAACACTTACGATGGCAACCATGTCTCTTGATCCACTCCACCTTCTCCCTAACCTTAAACGCAAATATAATCTCCTGTCTCCCCATCTTCTGCGCAAATACGCACGGCCCCTCTTGAGGCTCCCCCGTGCATCCGCGACACGAATAGCACGGGCGGCACACGATTTTCTCGCCGTTTCGGTAGTATGCTAGGTCCTCTGGGGACGTAAAAAACAAGAAAGATGAAATGTGGGTTTGGATAAGAAGAAGGAGGAGGAGGTTGTAAGGTAGAGAGGGGGGGGGTTACTTACTGATTTGAGAGAGCGATTCTAGGATCTGGTCGATGCCTGTGTTGCAGGAGGGACAGCGCGCGCTGCCGCGGCAGTTCAGGCCGAGAGCATTGATGGTCGCGCGGTTTTCAGATGTGCCCGGGAGGGATGTATCGAGGGGGTCTTGGGTGTCGGTGGTGGGGTAGGGTTCTATGGCGTTGGTGGAGGCTGTGTTGGCGTCACTAGTGTTTCCCTCGTGTTCAGTTCTAATGCTGTTGATTATGCCGTCGCCTATCGCGATGTCGGCGCGTGGATGGACGGAAGAATCCCCGTTTCCTGTGTAAATGTTAGTCTTGTGCGATGGCTTGCTGAGACACTTACGCGAGATGGAGGCAATGGTTGTGGTAGCCCAGATGAGAATTATTATGATGAACGGGATTTTCATGCTGTGTCTGTGGAAGAGTTGGTGGTTTTGAGGTTTCAAGGGCTTTTGTGAGAGGTTTAGTTCAAGTGAAGTTTGGATAGGAGATATTTTCTTGGGCAGAAGAGGGCGAGCGAGTGGAGGGAGTTGTGTGTAAGACGTCTGGATCTGATATTGAGGTAAAGGCGTGGTTACATAGTAGGTGTTTTTGGACAAATGCTCGCAAATTCAGTATACATTACTTAGACAGTAGTGTTGGGAGTGATTCAAGGTTGTATTTTCATGTGCAGGAATATTGCGATAATATTCCATCGTGGCTTTGACCTTTTACACAGTACGCACAGCAGCCGGAATCCAGGACACTGATGGTGAAGTTGAGGATTAACAGCATGAAGTACCTCACTGTATTACCCAAGTATTCATATAATCACGTGTACTATCTCGGTAGGACGATTGGAATGCCGCATACAACTTAGTTTACAAAAAGTGTGTGGCTGTCTTTCATCTGAAGAGAGGAGATGGGTTACAGAATTTGACTACATACCAGCACCAGCACATGGCAAACGTAGACCAAAATATTCATCGTAGAGGAAAAAAGAATCCATTCTCTCACCTCTGCGACTAGAGGCTGTGTATACTTTCAGGATTGTATACCAATCTTCACCACAACATACACAATTGTCCAGAGTATTCCACGGCTCAAGCCTAGACTAAAAGACGACAACAGCAACCCATCTCACCTGCTCAAGCACAACCTATATATATATCTAGACCAAAGACCAAGTTCCCAAACATCAAATACTTAACCCAGACCTGTATCTCAACTACACCCACACACAACACACAGCCACCGCCCACCCCCACGCTAGTCCCCACAGCCCCTGGCGCACCGCCCCCATCCAATCCCACACGTGAACAAGTCCCCCTCGCACGCCTTGCCTCATTCTCAATGACCCCACCCGCATCCGCATCCGCATCGCCTCCACCAAGCGCGCAGCGCAGCCCCAAACTCCCCAGCATACCACACACACACACACAACTACATCTATCGACTCCTGACGTGGAAAACAAAAACCCCATCGCACCACACCGACCGCATTAACAGCGCTAAGCCGATAAGTAGTCCTTCAACAGCAACAGCAACAACGATCCTCCTAGCAGGACATGGCATCGGAGGACCAAGCTGCCGAAACAAGGAGGACTAGGTGTATGATGCAAAAAAGGGCAAAGAAAAAAAAACAAGGCAAATATCTGCCTTGTTCGTATTCCCCACCCCCCCCCCTCGCACGTAGGTATGGGTAGGGACAAGGTCAGCAGTGCTAGTAAGTATGTACGTACCCGACGGTGAGTTTTTTTTTCGGGGTCCACGTGGCGTGGCGTGCTGCATCCGCGCTTCCGTAGGGAAGTGGGAAGGGGATGCTGGAAGGGGATGGTTTTGGCATGTTACTGACTTGTTCACTCACTCACTTACTTAACTGTACATGTGTGTGTGTGTATAACCAAGTGTGTAAGTAAATGGCTAAGGTAACCCCCCCCCCCCTGCACACCTGAGAGAAAAGAAGGGAAGAAAAAAAGAAGGCGAACCAACTAACTACGTACCCTATGTAAACCATGCGATACGGATACAACTCCGCCTACCTATCCACCGACACATGTACATATGTACGTATGTACGTATGTACGTACACGCTTAGTCCTTTGAAATGCAGTGTGCCTCCCTCCCCCGCCTACCTATGTACCCATACCTATACACGGCCCGAACCCCCCCCCCTGTCATTCCTCCGACCCTTCCCTCACACACCCAATTCCATCCACACCTGTACATACATGTATGTAATGTTCCTCCCGACCGGACACAGCACTGCGGTCAGCCTTTTCCAGCATGTGTCAGCCCTAGCTTTTAGTCCCGCATTCCGCGCCAACACTATGTAACACTAACACCCGAGTAAGAGCGAGCGAGCGGGCGGCGGAGCGTGGATGGGTAAGGAGCATAGTGCGGAGGCGCAGCACATATAGTACATGTACAGTCTCAGGCTTACTTAGGCACCAGCACCAGCACCAGCGGGACGGAAAGTCGAGGTGCAGGAATAATTTATGTATGTACTGTATGTACAGCCGGGAGGAGGAGGACTAACTAACATGTATGGCTGGAGGATTGGCGACGGGAATCCTTGTCGGGGGACTGCCATGGTAGATGGTGAGGATGACGAGTGATGAATATGCATGCATTACTTTACTCTCATTCTTTCTTTCTTTCTTTCTTTCTTTCTTTCTTTCTTTCTTTCTTTCTTTCTTTCTTTCTTTCTTTTTTCTTTCATTGCGTTTGACCCTTTTTTTTTAACATTCTGCTAGCACAGAGAGAGAGACATGTTTGGATTCAATGGGACATGGAGGATGAGGAGGAAAAAAACAAAACAAGCGTGTTATGCTTGCTGCTATGTACTTATGTGCTATGGATTCGCTGGATCGATGGTCAAACTGGATACCCCCCCCCCTTTCAACCCTTGGTTTTTTCTGGTGTTGTCTTTCTTTTTTTTGATTTGTTGGCATGGGATACGCTATATATGTAGCTTTGCATAAAAAAATTTTTTTTTTGCGAACGTACGTACGGAACGACTCTTAACGGCCGCTTTATCTGTCTCTTTCTCTCCTTTTTTTTGATACTCTATAGATGAAATGTCAAAATGTAAAGTGCGAATTTCACAGAGAGAAGGAGAGAGAAAAAAAAATCTCTCTTTTTTTTGGATATTGTCTAGTGCCATGGATGACATGAGCTGAAATGCGTTTGAGTCAAGTCGAGTCGAATCTACTAAACAGTACTGCTGCTGCTGCTGCCTAGCCTCCACTTGCAACCCCCCACACCGCGTAATCAATCCATGGCAACCAGGAAACGCGAAAAAAAAACCAAACAGAAAGAAGATTAAGAAGAAGAAGAAGAAGGACCGAAACTTGGGGGATTCATGTACAGCGGAAAATCTTTGTTTCACTTCATGGCCACTTTACCTTTTTGCCTTGGTCCTTTCACATACCTACCTCCCTCGCTTCACATCCACAGCGTAGCACACACCCCCCCCCCCAAAAAAAAGTGAAGCTGAACAGAGAAGGAAAAAAAGGGCAGACACAGCCCCCCCCCCACATGGCATACATGCGACATGAGACACACATAGCACGTGCATGCCGTCACTCGCAATCAGTCCCTCGTCAACAAGGTACCGCTCAAGTCTCTCGTCGACATTCCAGGTCGTTGGGTCGAGCATGCCAGGTCGAGTGGCGTAATCCTTCTCCAGATGCCTTCCCACATGCTCGATGCGCTCATCCCACGAATTGACGCCTTCAAAGGAGCGGGGGCAGAAAAGGCAGCTGGAGAGCGGCGGGGGGTTTCTCAGGCGGTGGCTGCAGCGCGCCTGGTGCTCGGCGAGATTGTCTTCGGTGACGGGGTACTCTTTGTGGCTGTGGGGGGACTTGTCTTTGGTCGCGGCGTGCATGCGGCGCAGGTGCTGGGTGAAGAGGTCTTTGCGGTTGAAGTCGTTGTGGTAGAACGAGTCTTCGTCGCTGGGGTCGACGGATGGCGGGCACAGGTCGCAGCGCCAGTAGCTGAGCTTGATGTGCTGAGTGCTAATGTGTCGTTTCCATTCGTTCTTGGAGGAGAATTCAGACTTGCAGCCGTAGATTCCAAAAGGACAGGGAAAGCGGCGCCGGCAGTCGGCCTGGTGGGCTGCTTCGGTGTTGCGGTTGACAGAGGATTTAGAGGACCGACGAGCTTTCTTGTCGACTTTAGTACAGACAGTAGGACTTGACGCATATGAGTCCTTCCTAGCATGCTTGCGACGCTTTAATGAATGACCTGGGCCGGTCCCCGACGCTGTAGACCGTCTTCGCTTACCAGAGCGACAAGGCGATGGGCTGTACTCGGAGTCGGAAGTGGACTCTTGGGAAAAATCGACCGGTTCGACTGATTGCGCGTCTCGCGTGGAATTTCCAATCCCCGAGTCTGAATACACCATAGGCTCTGGTGTCTCTTCCTTCTTGACGGCTCTGTGCGGGGAGTCGGGGATGGTCTCTTGTTTGACAGTGACGTCGTCATTCTCGGTCTTAGGCACAGCGGGGGTATACTCCAGTTCGCTTAGGGAGCAATTGCCTGGCAACACTGAAGCCTCGAATTGGTAGGAGATACCTTGGAATTGCTCTGTGGGTGGAAACGAATACGACATCTGCGAGTAATCCATCGGGCTGACGTACGGGCTGACGTGGTATGTGTACGGCGATGACAGCTCGTCTTGAGTGTTCTGGCTGGTATTCGAAGACGACGTGCGATCGGGCGAGGGATGCCGGAAGCAGTCGGCCGGGAACCACTGTTGCTCTGGCTGCCACTTGTATTGACCGTTCAGTGGTATGTTTGCATGCAGCATACCATCTGTGAGCGGGTACGAATCGGTCATGAAACGCTGCATGGGTGGGGCGTTTGTGCTGCCATTGCTAAAGTCATCAAGATAGGTATCCTCGTCCATGAGAAAGGGCATCTCCTGCTGCCTGTACGGCTGGATATAGCTGTCTTGGTCGGTCATCCAAAAGGGGTACCGTGAGTCTTCCATGTCGTGTGCTTGGTGCAGGTCTCCAAATGGGTGAGCTTCCATGGCGTGAGCGATAGGTTCAGCAGGCAGTATTGCCTACAAATAATGCGACACTTCAAGTCTGGACAAAGACGTGATGAAAGGGTGCGGCGCTGAGCTGCACGGAAGTCAAAAAGATGGGTTGATATGACTGAACTTTATTGCTTACTGTGTCGGTAGCACCAAATAGTCCAGACCGAGATACTAGTAGGGAAGACTGTCTGCAAGTGTGCAAGCAAAGCGTCGAGAATGGGGGCCAGAAGGAGAAATAGTTGATCAAAAGAGGCGGAGCATGGGCGGAGGAATGCAAAGTGTGTCAAGGCAGCAAACTAGGCAGCTTGCTATCGGGTTGCACTGCCCTCGACTCCGGTATGGTGTAGCCATGCTCAGGCTCTCATGGCCTACAGTGTTTTATGGGTGTATAGTCTCGCAGAGCCGCATGCAGCCACCAATGAAATTCGAGCTGCCTTGGCATGTGTTCATGCTGTCCACTTCAGCTTGACCGGTGCGCGGCCCCCCTGTCGAGCAAGCACAGCTGTCCAGCCACCACTATCTCGCTCGGGGCTTTGGCTCCTGCCGTCCATGCGGATGGTGTGAGTCGCAGGGTGAAGCTGCAAAGCGCAAGGAATGATGCCAATCAGGCAGATCGCTTCCGCATTTCGATATGGTCGAGCCCCAGCTCCAGCGGCTGCTCCGCGGACGCCCGTGTACATGATTCGCAACCGCGTCGGAAATCAAAGGCGTCGGCGACACTGGACATACGGACAGCGGGCTAACCTCGAGGCCCACCAGTTTGGACGTTGGGGGCCAAAAAAGCGACGAGCAACAGGAGGGACTGCGCGCATGCGAGCAACGAATCATCTACCCCAGACTGCCGGTAGCTCTATTGGGAGAAGGCGGCGCATGGGGGTTCGTGGCCAGTGGCTATTGTGCCACCACACCTGCATCCAGGACCTGGCTGTCCCAAGGGGTTATCTCACACAAGCGACGGCTGATGGGAGGCAGAGGTTCCGATCAAGAGGCAGCGCCATGGTGCATAGAGAGGGTGGAGGGGTGGTGGCCGTGATTGGAGCTTGTTGCATGCCTCACCAGACGAGGGGCGCGTCTGGCACGGGAGGACTCGATTGGGCGCCGAGATAGGGCGGAGCAGACAGACATACTTTACCTGACAATGCCGCGGTGATGGTGGTGGTGGTGATGCCATGTCGTCCAGGCAGAAGGAAGATTCCGCCTCGGCTGTCTCAACAAATGCGAATGTGAATGTATCCTCTGGACAGTCCCGCCGTCGCCTCACGGGCCGGGCATCATGGTGCGTTGGCGGCAGCGCATTCTATCCGATGTCATCTGGGGTGACCTGGACTTTGGGGCGCATTTGGGGGCGGAGCGTCCCGTGTGATGATGGTGACGGACGTGGACGAGGGGGGGGGCGGCTAGAAAATGTGGCGTTGAAGGACTCACAGAAAGGTCGTGCGCCCGTCTCGAGTCGACGACGACGACGACGACGCACCAAGTCCTGCTGTTACCCCTGCGTCGACGTGGTTATCGTCAAGACGCACTCACGCTCGCTGTCATCTGTCAGAAGACGATCCGGCACATCCACGCACGGGGTTCAGGTTCCTGTAATTAGCTCCTCGCAGAAGATGCCCTGCTTGCACGCTTGTCCCGGTCCCCACAGCAATCCACCTGCGTCTGCAAGCCACAGGACCACTGCCTCAAAAGCCGTACGACCGGGACACGGCGGCAGTCAGGAAATCAGGCATCGGCCACCAGACATGAGAACAGGAATGATTGACGCGGGATGATGATTTTGTGGGCCATTCCTACACACTCCAGGCCGCCACTTGACTACATGGCTGTGCGACGACGCCTACTATCTCGCCCAGCGTAGCGGCTTCACGCTCCAAGTTTGGCAACAAGCCGCTCTTCAATCCCCTCCATGATCCATCGGTGCTCCAGCACCTCGAGATTCTCAGCTTCGTTGAGGAACAGCTTGTCGGGATCCTGCTCGGGTCCCATTATGCCGCCCGCGCCTGGGTTCGCCATGGCCATCTGTTGGGTGACCTGGTTGGCGGCTACGCGACAGGGTTAGTCTGGGCCAAGCTGAAAGAAGGTTGCGAGGAGCGTACCATTGTTGCTTCCGAGGATAAAGTTATAGACAGGCTGCAGTCCAAACAGCGTCAGGAAGTACCACGACAAACTCGACACCCATCTGACGTCGAGGTCGCGGGTACCCACTCCAGACTGGAGCATGGACTTGAACTGTGGCGTCAACGGGAAGGGCAGTTTCACTGGCATGGGCGGTTAGCATGGTCCAGCTTGCTTTTGCGTGCATCCTCGCAACTGGCACGGCACCCATGACTCGGCAGCGCGCAAGCAAGCGCTCGCCTTTGGTGCACAGGGCAAGGCGAGAGTCATGCCCATTGAAGCACTTTGCGTCCACCGCAAGCCCCGTGTGCGGCGCATGCAGGAGCCAGTGTACCCGCTCCACGTGCAAGAAACCGAGCAGACTTACTAATAACGAAGCCCGAAAAAAAGGCATTGATCCAGCCCATAATCAACGTCTGCGGAATCATCATGGTCATCTGGCCCTTCATCATGCCCATCATGCCCTCCATGGCCGCAGGATCGCTCATGGGATTCGGCCTCGGTTTCCCCCTCATGTCCGGCTCAGCCAAGAACTTTCCTTCCTGGAACGCCTGCACCATGTATGCTTTGCGCGCGGCAAACGACGAGGGCGAGATGACGTGGGCGTTTGTGCGCAGGTTGACGCCGCGGACGAGCGAGCGCTGCTGGCGGATCTTCAGCAGGTCCTGTTTCTTGGGCGTGGATTGCAGCAGCGTCATGGCGTAGTGGCGGAGGATGCCCGTGAGGATCTATGGGCATTGTGAGTTGGCGAGGCGTGCGACGGAGGGAGGTTGAGCACTATGTACCATGACCACGGTGATGGGCAGCAAAATCCACCAACTGTACAATCATCAGCCATGTGCATCCCCGCAGCGAGCCCATCCGCATGACGCCAGAACATACAACAAGGCGGGATCCCTATGGATCGTCTGCACGACAGGCTGCCCCATGGTGGCGGGAGCAGCAGATGGCGAATTGCGCGAGATGGAGCGGGGGCGGAGGCGCGGAGACCAGAGTCGATGGCAGAGGCGGACGAGGCGGTGGCGGTGGTGGTGGACGTGGATGTGGATGTTCCGTCCAGCTTGCACGGAGCTGTCGCAGAGAACAAGAGAGAAGAGAGACAGCGCTCCCGCCCGCCGCTTGAGCCTCGTCTCGTCTCGCCTCGCCTCGCCTCGCTCCGGGCGGGATGGCGACCAGGGTCCGCGCGCCTTGCCCTTGTGGAAAGGTGTCCCGTCCACCAAAACCAACCAGTTTCCATACACACCATACACTCATCCCCGCAAAAAACGAGCCCTGGGCTCCACCACTCCAATCGCTCTGGTCCTGCGTGTCTCGCCCCCTCTGCTGTAGAAAAGCGTACATACGGAATCCCACACCATGTCGGCGACGCAGAAAATCGCAGTCCACTCGCTGCAAGGTACGTTTCCGTGCACATCCCGCGATGCACCACGCCCAACTTTGAAACCGTCAAAGCCGACACGTGAATCATACATGCTGATGATAGCGGATTAGATCTCAAGAGCACCACCGACGATGCGCTGCCCAATTACCTCAACAGCCTCAAGTTCAAGCAGATCCACACGCAGACCGACATCCGCCTCGTCCTGGGCTACACGGCCGTGGCCATTGCAGGCGCCCTGTTCTACTACGACTGGAAGTTTGGCTGGGAGGCCAGCAAGCCGTTTACCCTGCCCGCCGTGGTAGCGTATTTCGTGCTCAACAGCGCCTTTAGCTACTGGCTGTGGTTTGTCGAGAAGGGCGTTGTGTACGAGGGCGAGGGCAAGACGGGCAAGGTACGTTGAATTACAGAGAACATGTTCGGTGATGACCGGCAAGAAGGCTGATTGTTCGACACAGATCAGGATATCGTCATGGACTAAAAAACACATTCCCATCTATGAATGCGACGTCGTCTTCACGCCTGCGCCCTACGCCTCGAACCCCAAGCAAACGATCCACATCCGTGCCGCCATGACGCGCTGGTTCACCTCGGACGGCTACTTTGTCGCAAAGTCGTTCCAGCAGTGGCTTGCGTCGGAGATTCCCGTGGTTGGCGCCGCAGACCCGAACAATGTTGTCGAGGAGATTGGCAGGGGCAGTGCGGCGGCGGGCATGGAGCAGACACTCAATCTGAACAGCTCAAATGCCGCGGATATCCTGCAGCAGCTCAAGGCGAGTGGTGCCCAGTTTGCCAGCGGCGAGGCCCAGAGGCGGAGGTAGAGACGGCCGAGTGCGCGTTTATCTACGACTATCTGGAAAGGATGCTCACGGGTGTTGGACATTGGTACTTTTTCCACAGCGCAAGTTCTCCAGTCAAGGCGTCTGCATGTCTCGAGTATTTCCACACTGATTTCAGCCTGTTGCCAATGTTAGAGAAAAGCAGCATTAAACAATATTGATACCATTTGCGCTACCTAGGAATGCTATGCGACGATTTGGCCAATGCAGAACGCCTCCGAATGCAGATAACAACACCAACACCATCAAACTATTTAGCCTCGTCGTTTCCCCTCAAGTATCCAATCCCGTCTTGTGTCCCAACTACTTCATGTACCACTACTCCTGCTCAAGCATGGGCAACACCTCGAGTTCTCGTTGTATGATTCTCTCAAACTCCTCTCGGTCGATCCCCGAAGCCCTCGCTAGGCGAAACAGGCTCTTGATATCCGTGCTGATGTGCTGCTTGATCGCCAGTTCTGCCTGACTGTTGCTCTCTGCCCTCTGCTCAAGCCTCTCGATCGAGTTACTGGAAGCCGACGAAGCGGGCCGGGGGTGGTTTAGCACGTCGACCGTGTTCTGGTCCTGGCCGATGGTGCCAAGGTGTACGGCGCTGTCGTTGCCGTGAATGCCGTCGCCGGTGATGAGTCCGTTTCTATATGCTGGTGGCATCGAGGAATCGTAGCCATTGGGACCAAGATTGGACGTATCGAGAGGCTCTGTTTGGGGCGCACGAGCATAGTCCAGGGTGTTGCCGTTCAGCGTAGTCTCTCCCGCCGCCGGGCTCTCTTCGTCAGGGTCGTGGGCGTCAAGCGCTGGCTGCACTTCAGAGGCATAGCGCGCGAAATACTCGAGCTCGGATTGCGTAGGGCCTACTTGGGTTCGGCCAGTGTTTGCAGGCGCAGGAGAGCGCCTTGTCTGCGGTGTTTGCCCCGGAGTCTGGTCGTACGCAGCCCAGTACGAGCCATCGTCTTCCTCTTCCTCGACCGCTGGTTCTGGCTGGACGGCCTCTGGCTGCAGTTTGACACCGTTGCTCTTCACAAAGCTGGATTTCCGCCGGAAGCCTGCCTCGTCTGCCTCGTTGGTGCTCTCGAACCACTCTGTGCCGTCTTCGGCGTCTGCGATTCCTCGTAGCTCAGCCAGTAGCCAACGGCTTCCCCCTTCGCCACCTGTGCACCACAGATAGGTCGGTATGATTCCGTATTCGCCTAGCACCAGCCTCGCATGCAGTGTCTCGGCATCTGACCGCCGGTAGAGTATCTTGTCTGGCTCCTCGACCTCGATCTCGCCCGAAGACGGGTGTGGCTCGACGCTTATCCTGGCAATGGCTTCTGGAAGCCGTGACGCAACTTCTGGGTCCCAGCACAGCAGAGGCAGCCATTCGCTCGAGGAAAGAAGCTGGACTCGCTGACGAAGAATGGGCGAGAGGAGGGGAAGAAGACCCGGGGGTACTTCTTTGGAAGCGGTTGCTGTCGACAGGCAGGCGAGTAGGGGTGGGAGGAGCTCCCTCGCGTCCGGCCGCGGAATGGTTTGGTTAAGTCCAGGCATTGCTGCAGCGCGGGCAAGACGTAAAATATGGAGCTGGGCGTGTGCTGTTCAGCAGAGCTAACAGTGTACTCCTGCAGGATCCAGAGGAAATATATTCGCCGCGTGCAGATGGCAACTATGGTTGTTGTCTTTCACGTGCGAAAAAGGGCGAAAAATGCGTAACGTGAGCGTCTCAAGATGTGTACTTTTTCTCGGTACAGTCGAGGCTATGCGTCCAATTCGAGGGCAGGCGAAATAATTGCCCTGAGGGTCAAAGGAGAACTTAGGGGTTTTGTTCGGTTGGTAGTGCTGAGTCCGTGGTACTGAGTTAGTCCGGTGACGCTGTCACATGCGAATGCAGTGCGCAGAGAGGCTCGTGGGCGGTGAGGCGGGGAAGGACAAAAGTGGCGAATCCCGAATGGCAGCAAACAGGCCGCAGAAAGAAATCGAGGAAGAAGAAGGAAGAGAAAAGGAAAGGCACGACGCCGCCTGAGACACTTGTCGTGGCATTTTTGCGGCCAGATGGGATACGGGCAGCAAGTGGATGCTTCTGCTGTCTTAGTCTCCGTTCCGCCGAAGGTAGATTACCGTTACCGCTGGAAAGCGTACCGATCGCGCTTGCCGTCATGTCGACTACAGGGCCAGGCCAGGCCCCCTCACGCAGAACGGCGTAGTCTCACGTCCATATCGACACGGCACCGGATTGACACAGCGCCTGCTTTTCGCTGGGCATGCGCAACAGCATCTAGAGGCGACAGAACGAGTTGATCTGGCCCTGCAGCAAAGGCTCCCACGCGCTCTGATGGCGACTTACCCCGACGCCGCCATGGCAGAAGAGAGCCAGGGACGGACTCCGATATTTCGAGCGACACTCCCAACACAAACAAATACAACTCCGAAAAACAGGGCGACATTTGAGATTCGGAGCGGCATTGGGAATTCGTTGACGTCAGCTTTGCAGTTGACAGGCAGACAGACGGAGACAGCGGGTACCTGAGAATACTGATAGTCGTTGTGCAGCAGCTGAAGCTCCCCGCCAACGCCAGACATGACGACTCCAGCACCAGCACCAACACCAGCACCAGCACCAGCACCAGAGCTATACAACAATGTGCAGTCAAGTGTCCCCACCGGAGCGACTTGGATTGGCCAGCACCGCGGGCGCGCTGCGACAGACTTTCAGCGAATTGCCGCTCGCCGTCTCGGGGATTGCATAGCCCGCCTTTGCATTTGCTTTGGCAGCACAAGCACAAGCGACGCCTTGTTTCAAGGCCGCTGCCTTTCGGGGCACGGCTGTGAGCTGCCGCTTTGCTGAGTCTGCCATGCTGCTCGCCCACCGCTATTACTACATATGCGTATGACATACATGCTGGATGCCCCCCCAGACCGGGCCCAGACGACGGCAGGCCTGGCTGCTGCCATATTCCCGAGAAGCCCCACCACCCTCCCACCATCTGGGGCGCTATCCGGCGTCGCCCAAAGCATGCGACTGGGGCCAGCAGCCAGCTTATTACCCACTTGCCCGCTTGCGCCGTGGCTGGAGAAGCTTCACCTCGAGGCGTGGCTGAAGGCGGGCAGGGGCTGGTGCTGATGCTGGTCATTGCATCACATCGCACGCATCCTAGACGACGCCTTGGCTGGTCTTTATATATAGCAGCACCGCCAGCGGCTGCACGCCTGTTAAGCGCCAGCATATGCGGGTGGGCAGCGCCAAGGGACGTCGTGTGTTGTGAACAGCAAAAAGAGCTCTCTGCACCGGCCGTCTGTTGTTCAGTGGACAACCAGAGCCGCTCCGCAGAGGAATACCAACACCAGTTTCTCCATCAGGTATGAGAATGGAGACATAGCCACCCGCTCGCCCCATTGCCAGCCCCCTGCTCCCGCCTCTGTATAGCACCTGAGGCTGTGTGCCCTTTGCATCAAGCTTGCCAAGACCGTGTCACGCATCTGCAAATCTGCCTTGAGCCGCCAGTCAAGCTCACGGCGGCCGTCGCACCGTCGCGCTTGTCTTCAGTCGACCTGCACATCGCTCGCGACCTTTTTTTCTCCTCGCAAACGCCAGACTAGCCTGCGCCCGCATTGTCGCGACAACACGCACAAGGCCAGCTTGGCGTGCGTCCCCTCTACCCCGGCCCTACCATTTTGGATATCTTGGGGGAAATCAGCCTTGACTGGGGCGTCCAACTCTCTCTCCCACGTTGCTGCGGCTGGCTCCACTGCCGACTTGGAAATTCACGCTGCCTCTGCCAACCGACTCGAGAACTTGGGAGCTTCTCCTGTTGCTCGCGCCCTCTTGTCCGCGTCTGCTCACAATCCGTTCTGCGCCTGTCGATAGCTTAAAGCGCCGGCGCTGCCTCTAGCCACAACGGCTGCCGCGTTCCGTCCTGCGCAAGGCAGATCATCACCCAGCATCCATCTTCAGCCGTCTGGCCTCTTTCGCCTTCGGCCTCGCCGCGACATTTCCCCTCCCACGTTCTGCCTTTGGCCCAGTCTGTTTGCGCGTGTAGAGGCGTTGCGACACCTACCCCTCCTTCTCTTCTGGCACTTTGGCTTCCGCATTACCCCCATTAGTCACCCGTCAGGCAGCATTATGCCACCCTGAACAGCCATCCAGAGTCACGTTACCCTTCGGCGTCACCTTGTCTGTCGCCACGTTCTGTTGATCCCTGCACACCCAACTTGCCGTTAAGTCAGCCTTCTGGCCGTTTAGCGCAGTCGGGGGGAACGATGCAGGTCGATACTCATACACAGCCCTACCAAGATCCTCGCCGCCAGCAACGCCACCCCCAGGATGTGCAGGCTAACGGCTATGCTTCCGCCCTTGCTGCCGGCAACCTCTTAATGCCAGAGGCACAAGGCACATTTACCTTTTCTGCCGAGCCTGCGTCAATGGTATACGATGGGTCCATGGTATCCTCCAGTACACCTGGGCAAGACTCCATCTTCACTCCCAACATTGGATCTTCTCTTGACTCTTCATTACATCCGGACATGCCATACCCACCACCAAACACGTACAACCAATCCCAAATCTATGGTCTTTCTCCAAACTCCTGCTACGGAAACGGCCAAAGCATTTCGCCCCAACACTCGGTAGAGCACTTCAGCCCCGAGGCCGGGTACTCGAGTGACGGCAATTATCAAGACCCCAGCACTTGTCCGACACCAAACTTCAACGCGAACATTCTGGACGAGTTCTCCGCGCTCAACTTTGCCGAAAGCAGCTCGAACACCAACTTCCCACCCTTCCAAGGAAACGATGACCTGTCGGTCTTGACCCCAAACACCCTGAACATGTACAACGCCCAGGCAGCGATGGCCCATAGTTATACTTCACTGGATCCCCATCAGCAGCTACTCACGCCCAGCATGACTAACACCTCCAGTCCGGCAATGGTTGATGAGAGCTCTACATTCCCTTCAACACAGTATAATGGGCATGCAGCAACACCACCAAACCATGCGACTCATCTCCAGCACTCGACGCCCATGAAGCCGATGCAAAGCCCATCACAGACAAGCAGCCCCGGACATGTACCACCAGTAAACATCCAGCCCCTTACGCGCCACTTGACGAGCCCAATCGTACGCGTTGAGAACTACAGCAGCAGAGAGGGATCGCCGTCGCGCTCAGACAACAGCAGATCTATTAGCAGGCGAAGCTTCAGTAGCCGGCACTCCGGCAACCATCTATCCCCCTATGCGCACAATGACATTTCCGACGACGAATCGGAATCACACGAACGCTATTATATCCAGTCAGTCGCTAGTAGGCCTGAGCGGAACGAAGATGGATCATGGCTGTCACCTGAAGGATCTGGTCAAACAGGTCTTAATCCGGACGACCGCCGGAAGATGGGAGATGCATGGATTCCAAGCATAGAGGAGATTGCCGAACAACGATCCAAGGACGAAAAGAAATTGGAAGTGCAAGAATGGCTCACAAAAAGTGAGGTAGGAAGCGAGGCAGGAGACGTGCCGCCTGCGAACAACTTGCTGAAGCCTTTTACCGGCCGACGCAGAGCCAAGAGCCACAATGACATTCAACGACAAGCGCCGCCTGGTAGCTTTGGTCTCGGCGTCCGTACAGACTTTGGTCGTATTGACGACTCTGGGATACCTGGACCTGGTGTCTACATTGATGAGCGAAGCGATTTCGGCGACTACGATTACGAAGATGATGAGTCACTAGAGCCTGAATCACCGCCTGCCGCAATCGATGTTGGCGCAAGTCATATTGAAAACTCCTACTTTCCACCGACGCATGAGACCATTTCAAAGGTTGGTGGTGTGGTAAAGCCATGGGTTGATGTACCCTTGCAGCCATCACAGTCATCAAGCCCTTCTGCTCGCTACCAACCACCTACCTCGAACGCTGCCATGATGCGATTCCGACTACGAGCAAAGGACATTGAACAAGCCTCACTTGCTGTCACTGTCGGATCACGTCGTCTCAGCGAATCTGATCTTGGTAGCATTCGCGCCGCACCGGGTGTGGTAAAGCTGATTGAACCTGATCCGAAGAAGAGTAAAGAGCGCCAACGCCGCCCGAGTTTCTTGGATACTATCCTTCCCAAGCGTGTCCCAAGCAATTTGCTAAAACGCAAGAGCAGCATACCTGTGCAGCCATCGGATGCCTCGTCGGACAAGTCGAAAGAACCTACCATGGAGAAACCAAAGCGTATGAGTAGTTGGGGTCGTCCAAAATCACCTCGAGTGGACACCAATCTCAGCAGTGGTAACAAAGATGGCGGCCCAGCAAGTTCCACGGGTCTGACTGTAGCGGCGCCTGCGCCATGGTACAAGGATCCAAGGAATGTTATCAAACGCTCTCGGAGCAGGAGTGACATTGGCAGGTCACCAGGCCTCGCAGAACTTATGACACAGCATGGGGGTCCGCCAATGCCCATGCTTGCCTCCCCACTTGCAGACACAGAGGCTACGAAGCCTTCGGCACAGCCAAGTCCAGCTGGGGATGAGGATGATGATGACCATGAGCCAGTGACAATGGACCTCACGGTTCGCACAGACCCCATCATTCCGACCTCCGAGGGCTTCAAGGCCAACGCTCGACAGCTCAATCCACGCCTGGATGAGTTCATGGTCGAACGTATCGCTCAAGAGCAGATGAGAAGGTACAAAAGACTGCTGGAGTTTAAGGTGAAGCATTTGAATGCCGTACAAAATAAGAAGTGCGCATCAGGAAGCTTTTGTACAGATCTTGGCGGACAAGCCAAACTTCTTCCTCCACGAACAGGAGCCAAGGACACTGATGGCCCATTCATCGGCTTTCAGGTCGGTGCTCCAGGTTCGTCTGACGATGATGGTGAGCATTTGGTCGAGGGAAATATTGCACCTGCCGCATTCCCTTCTGGAGTACCCCTTCCTCCAGTGAAGCGCCTTCCTGCTGAGTTTGAATGTCCTTTGTGCTTCAAAGTGAAGAAATTCTACAAGCCGTCAGACTGGACCAAGCACGTACACGAAGACGTGCAACCCTTCACGTGCACATTTCCAAACTGTGGTGAACCAAAGTCATTCAAGCGCAAGGCTGATTGGGTTCGACACGAAAACGAGCGGCACCGCCAGCTTGAAAACTGGACATGCCAGATTGCTGACTGCAACCACGTATGCTATCGCAAAGACAATTTTGTGCAGCATCTCGTCCGCGAGCACAAGATTGCCGAGCCCCGACAACGCACCGGCCGATCTGGCAACAAGGACGCTCCATCAACGAATGACCAAGGTGAGTTGGATAGCAGCCAAGACTTCAGCAAATGTTAACGCTTGCATAGAAGATGTTTGGGCCATTGTTGAACGATGCCGTCGCGACACGGCAAAGCAGCCCAAGGATGAGCCATGCAGATTTTGTGGCAATATTTGCAATAGCTGGAAGAAACTGACGGTGCACCTTGCAAAGCACATGGAGCAAATCAGCATGCCTATCCTTCCCCTTGTTGATCAAAAGCAGCTCAACGCCGACAGTATCATCAGCCCTGTCGTCGAGCTACCGGAGAACAGAAGGCTTTCCCACACGCATACGCGATCATCCATGGACAGTCCAGGGCAGAGCAATCCTAGTTTGGCATATGCACCTGGCGTGGACCCCAACAGTCTTTACCCTCAGGACTCGAAGGCACAAATGGCATCTGCTACGATGCAAACCTATCCCCCGCCACAGATGGCACTACCGTCAAGTCAAGTCAGTGGATACAACGGCTATACTGCAAGCAATGCAAGCCAGTTTTCGCAGCAGACCTATCCAGGGCTGCAGGGCCCCTCGAAACTGCCGGTTGGCTATTCCAATGGGCTGCAGCTTCCCAGCCAGTCATACCAGAACAGCAACATGCAGAGCGGAATACAGCAATATGGGATGACGCCGGTAAGCACTGTTCAACAACAGCAGCAGTCCATGTACACCGACTCTCCTGTTGAGACGACCATGATACCCTTTCCTTCTTATTACACTCAGGAATCTCAAGGCTTGACGACGGAGATGCCGAACATGAGCTACGACAGCAGCAGCGAAATGCCATACCAGCAGAACAGCACTTATACTGCCATGGCGTATCTAACGGCACAACACCACTATCAATACCAGCAGCAGCCATAGGGAAAATGGAAGAGGTTGGGCAGCACGTGATTTGTTTAGCACATGCGACTTTGCGATGGACAGGCGGTTGGTTTGTATTTTTTGTCTTGTTGATGATGATTAGTTACGATATCCACTCTTGCGCTTTGGAGGATCCAGTCATGTTTAGGGAGCGATTCTGGTTTAGATGTGGAAACGTCTCGTATCGTGTTCAGGCTGGGGTGGCTGCGATAAAGCATGGGGGGAGGGGGGGACAGTTGACTTGGATTGCATCATAGACTCTGCATTTCTTTTTTCAGGCACATGAGACTTGACGGCAGCGTTTGTTCTTTGGATACATAGTAATGAAAAAGGGTTGGTCCTACAGCTGCAACTGCGAGGGACGTCAGACGGGCCACCACTGGGCCACCCCCCAGGCGTACGGCGGACTCTTACACTACAAAGGTCGGAAACCAAATCGCGAACGCTAAATCGCAAAAACTGTAATAGCTATATAACTTTAGAACCTATTTTTAGTACTTATTTCTTTAAACTTATTTTATATACTAAAAATAAGTACTAACGTCGTTCATAAGCGAGTTAGTTACCTAAGCGAGTTAGTCACTCCCCACTAGCGCGTTAACGTTAACACGTTATTATAGTCTTTTATTATAGTTAATAAACTATTATAATATACTAAATTAATTATTAGAATCGCTACTATTATTTATACTATCTATCTTAACTACGTAAGTATAAGTGTTATATCAAGTCTACTTACAACGCCCGCACTGCCACTCTCCTTACACCCTCTTTAACGCACTCTTACTATTACTATAACTACTACCTGCCTATTTAGCTAATACTTTTTATACTTTGCCTATAGTAAGAGTCTCTTCTATCTATACGTATCGCCACTTATAGCTCTTACACTTATTTACTATGTCTAGAGCCTCTTAAAGAGTAGCTACCTTCTCTCTTATAAGCGTTATCTTATATACTATTTACTAAGCCTCTTTACTTAGCTATATAACCTTCTTATTAAGAGAATTCATAAAAGACCTAAGGCGGTTTCTTACTCTCTATTAAATAAGAGTACTTTAAACCTTAACCTTACGCGCGTTACGTAGTGTTTACGCCTACTAGGCGGCTATCTATTATAGTAATTATATAGGTGTCTGCACTACTACATTAAGTTTAGATAGCATAGCCTATAGGTTGTGTAGGACTAGACTAGCGCTTCTAAAGCTAGCTTAGATATTCTCTTTCGTGATAGACTGCTTAAAAGCAGTCTTAAAGGCTAGTAGAAAGGTCTCTTTACTAATATAGTAGGTGCGGTTGCGTGCTAAGCCTAAAATAGCGTTGCTATACTTACGCTTTAATAGCAAAAAGTAGGCAACGTTAAGAGGCTATAATAGGTAAGACAAGTGTGTAGGTATGTAGAGAAGCATAATATTCTTCTCCTTGCAAAGATCCTAGAAATTAATAGAGTAGTAGCTCTTATAGCTATTAATAATAAGTAGTTAATACCTACCTATAGTAAAGCTCTTTATATAGGTATCAAAGTGCTCTAACTAGGCAAGACTAAGCTAATTATTCGTCTAGCTATTAGAACTAACTTTAAGAACCTAGTTAGTAGGCAAATTCTTAAACTAGACGTTAATAAGCACATTACTTACAAAGGTAATAAAGGGTGGTATTTAGCAACCTAACGTGCCTACGCCTTAGATTATAGTAACCTACTTATAGTCGCCTAGCTATATCTGCTTCTTTTTCTTATATCTTTCTAACACTATAATTAATAACTATAATAAAATCTTACCTATTATAAAGCTAGTTTAATTCAAGTTATAAATATTATTGTCTATAATACCCTACTTCTACTTTATCACCTAGACTAAGTTAAACTAGCGCTAGATAGCTACTAGGTTCTTATAGGCGGCTTGCTAGTAATTATGAGGATAGCTCTAGCGCGTATGGAGCTTAGCAGTCTACCTAACAAAGTTATTAACTTAATTTTTACTAATAGGGCTACTACTACGCTTCTCTAATAGTTTATTAGCTATCAATTAAACCTTAGCCTTTATAGGGGTAAATCTACGCGTAAACTCTTTAAATATATGTCTAATAATAGCTTCCTCTCTTAACTTATTTAGGCGCTTTAAATTTAGTTTATAGTTGCGTTAGGGGCGCTTTCTAGCCTATTAATTAGATATTATACTTTAAGGCATGTTATAGATAGAGGCAGCACATTTTTAGCTTTAAACATATTATAATTAGATATTAAAAAGAGTAAGTTAAAAATCTAATTTAGGATAAGTTGATTAACAGTTGTGTTATTAAGATATAACGCGTTGTAGGATTAACGTTAACGCGCTAGTATGGAGTGACTAACTCGTTTAGGTAACTAACTCGCTTATGAACCACGTTATAGGTATAAGAAAATATCAATTATATTTTATAGTACTATAAATATAGCTATTAATAATAGTTAACGTGAGGGATAAGCGAGTCGGTCAGACAAGCGAGTCGGTCACCCTACCAACTTTAATTACCTACCACACCTTTGCGTACAATGCCTCCAAGCCACGCTTCTTGGTTAATCTCTTACAAGGCAGATATTTAGCTTGCTATCTCTTCTTTAGATAGAAACTAAATCTAAAGTACCTAACGCGCTACTATAGCCTTTAATATTCTAAAATTAACACTAATTAACTAACGTGCTAGAAAGCGCGCGCGACGCAATTACTAGCCTAACTTAAAGAAGCTTACTAAGCTAGAAAAGGAAGTAATAGTTAGTTATATACTTAATCTTAACTTACATAGATTTGCGCCTACGTACGCCGCTATACGCGATATAGCTAATAAGCTACTAGCTACGCGCGGCGCTAGCTAGGTTAGGTAAAAGTAGCTAGCTAACTTTGTTAAGCGTATAGACAGTTTTACAACGCGTTTTAATTAAGCGTACAATAGGTAGAGAGCTCTATGTAAAGATCTAGTCCTAATTAAGAGCTAGTTTAAGCTTATAGAGCAGACAAAGGCTAAGTATAGTATCTATAATAAAGACGTCTATAACTTTAACAAAGCTAGCTTTATAATAAGCAAGATCGCAACTTAGCTAGTCGTAACAGCGTTAGAGAGGAGAGGCTAGCTAAAGGCAGTTAAGCTAGGCAATTGTGGGTAGGTGACGCTAATCGCAGCGATTAACGTAGCTAGCTAGGCAGTTCCACCATTCCTTATCTTCGCTAGCAAATATTATCTATCCGCCTAGTACGAGAAAGCAGAGATCCCACGCGACTAGGCGATTGTAGTTAGCAACAACAGCTAGATAAATAATAAGCTAAGTGTTGCCTAGCTGAAGCACTTTAAAGCTTACATAAAGACTTGCGTTATTAGCACACGTTGTTTGCTTATTCTTAATAGCTATAAGAGCTACTAGTCTCTTAAGTTTTAAGAGCTTTGCAAGGAGAACAATATCTACACGCTCTATATGCCGCCATATTCCTCTTACCTACTTTAACCTCTTAACGTTAGCTACTTCTTGCTATTAAAGCGCGCGTATAGCTATAAGGTAGAGAGCCTAATACGTAACTATATTAACTACATTACTAAGCTTAAGTTTCTACTAGCGTTTAAGACAGCGTTTAATTGATCCTTTACACTAGCTAATATCCACTTAGCCTTTTAAGGCGCAGGCCTTATTCCTCTCTAGCTAGACACTGTTCTATTAAAGCTAGACATAAAGCTGCGCACGCTTACTACTCTAGTAGCTGCTGTTGCAGAGGCTCTCTAGCAGGCTTGTACCCTAAGTAACGCACGCGAGTTTAAAGCTTAATTAACGCTAAAACATGATTATTATTATTATTATTATTATTGTTATTCTAGTTTAACGTCCTTTTTCAGCCTAAAGGGCTATATAAGACGTGTAGGGTTTTTAGGCCTATAAGTATCTAAGTAAGTTGTTTCTAGTTACAATATTTAGGAGGGGTTTTAACTAGATGAAGGTGAGGCTCGTAGCCTATTAGTTGGTAGGTAGGGGGTGGGATAGGGTGGGGGAGGTGTATGGCTACCTGTTACAGGTATTACTCCTCGTTTTCTGTGTTTCCTTTGTACCAGGCTTGTGTTCCAGCCTTTGTTTCTTGAATAAAGGTAATAGTTGCTTCTATACCCTCTTTTGTTTGAAAGAGGATAGGTAGTGATAGATCGCCTTCGCAGGCTTCTCTTAGTCCTTTCCTTTCCTCTCTATATAGATTACATCTAAATAGAATATGAGGTAGGTCTTGTATAGACCTATAGTTGCAGGGGCAACTATTAGAATCCACTTTCCCTCTCTTATATAGGTAGTCCCTTAGGTAACAGTGCCCCTAGTTTAAGTTGGTAGAAAGCGCTAGAAATCTCTCTTCTAGTATTGCTAGGAATAGCGATTTG